AACCTTTCGAACCGCTTGATTCGATCATCGAAACTTCGAATCGAAAAAAGTTCGCGGCATCCCTAGTAGTGACAGACCCGAGATTCCGGAACTTTGTCGCGAAGCTGCCACACACCTGCGATCAACTTGGACCCCTCCTTCGTGATGCCTCAACGTACATTATCGGTGCCTCACATTATATCGCACTGCATTATCATTATCACCCCCTAGACGGGCCTCACAGGCATTCATTGTACGGGCTACGTGCCTCTCTGTGGCGCCTGCACTTACGAGCACCAAATACATACCTACCTACCTACAAACGAATATTTTGGTTTTATGTGTTACATCAGTGAGAGCGGTCGTGTTCTCCTTGATGAAACGGGAAAAAATGTTTATGCTTGCAAGTCTTGCCGAAACCAGATTCTGAAGAACAGTAAAGGCCGGTTCAGACACTTGCGCTTGAGTGCGTTTGACTGCGTTGCGTCGAGAAGCGAAAGCGAGTCATCGGCACATCTGTGCTTCGTATGAAGCGTGGAATCCAATTCAAGGAACCATCTGGGCACGCGATATATGCAGCAGGGATGTCCTGGTGTCTCGCTGCCGCAACGCAGTCAAACGCAGTCAAACGCAACTGTCTGAACCAGGCTTAAGAATTAATGCCATGCATAATAGGTTGTTTAAATTCCCATACACACAGTTGCGTTTTAGTGCGTCTGACTGCGCTCCGCCAAGAAACGGAAGCGAGTCACCTGCACGTCTATGCTTCGTATGAAGCGCGGAATTCAATTCAAAGAGTATGTTGGCACGTGACATACGAAGCAGGCATGTCTTGGTTTTTCGCAGCCGCAACGCAGTGAAAAGGGCCGCCCACACTAGCGAGAAAACGCGCGTGGCATGCCGATCGCGGGAAGTAACAAAAAGTCCCTGTAGCACAGTCAGCGCCACGAGCGCGAGCAGAGACACGCCCTTTATCTTCCCGCTCAACCGATTTATCGGCGCGCCGCGCGCGTTTTCTCGCTAGTGTGGGCGGCCCTAAACACACCCAAACGCTCTCAAACTCAACTGCTTATGGGCCTTTACAAGAGCGTTACCGCTGCTTACCGCGGCCACGGTGTACTGCTCCTGGTACAGGTTGTACCACCATGTACCTCTCCATCTGGAAACCCCCCCCCCCCCCCCCCCCCCCCCCCGGTGAGGGTATCACCCCCATTCCTTCCTGCACCTTTTCCTCCAGGGAGTCGGCCCTATCCGGCACAGAGCTCGGTGACCAGCAGCGACTGGTTGAGCGAGCCCGCCGAATCTGGGCGGCCAACGGAGCCCAGGACTAAGTGCACCAACTAGGGACCGCAAGGTCCTTTCACTTTTTGGATATTAAAGTTTAGGATAATGATGATGATAGAGCATGCTTCGAAGTAATTTAGCGTGAGTTCCCGGTTGTACTGCCGCTCTGGGAAGTTGCGGGATCGCTATGCTCATGCCCAAGTCCAACGAGAGTGACTGATAAAAACAACCAACACCGACACGCCTCAAGCAAATGAATCACGCACGGGAATGTATCTTTGGCAGGCTTACAATCGCTAGTGCTTACTTCGAAAGCACCGAAAGACAGCAAGCTTGTCAACGATACCATTGTTGTGCTTCATTTGTGTTCGCGTGTATGCTTATACAGCCTAAAACTTGGTCTGCCTCAGCTGGCGGCTTGTCTCTCAGCTGTAGACGAGCAATCTAGCCAGTGAAGTACAACCGCTAGCCTGGGGTCTTTAACGTGCACCATGGAGTGTATACAAGCGTCAGATCTTTGTGTTCGTTTTCACGTCAGCCGCAACAATTCTCGTGCAGCGGGAGCTCAAGCCAAAAGTACAAACACGCTTGCGCTCGCAGCATTTCTGATTATCACCCAAAGGTTCAGATTCTCACGTTCAGCGATGTCGGTGGTTCCGCTATTGTGCGGTGGATCAGCCGACGTCCACCTAAGTCTAATATCGTCAAAACAAACAGAACAAAGGTTGTGGACGCATGTGACATCTATTTGAATGAAATGCACTTGGCAGGAAAAAGAGACAATTGTTTTATTTTTTTGCTGACAGCTTCTTTTTCAATCAAATAAATCCTAAAGGTGTCCACAACGTCAGTTCTTGTTTTGAGAATATTAGGCTCAGGTGGACGTCGTTCAAATAAAAATTTCTTCTCTCGTTTTTATTTCTTGATTCAGTTGACTTCCTTTTCTCAAATTTTCGCACTCTATTCCAACTGCTGGCGTCCCATTTTCAGAGTTCAATCTTCCCATGATGCTTAAATGATCTACACGGGCCAAAAAACAAGATTTTCTCAAAAACATTACTAAGTACATGCACTGCACGTGCTCATCTCTTCTATATAAGTAATTAGGAGTAAATAATCAACAACAGATAGAAAAAATTGATTTTTTTCCTTTCAAGCATTTATATGACTGCAGACGCCAGCACGTGTCGCATGTGTCACTAGTCATCAGCAGACTCCTAGCGAAAGGCCTGATAAGGCTCTGAAGGCGAGACTTTTATTGGTTCTATTTTTGTGTGTGTGCTGTTAGCGCGCGTGGTCAAACGCTTGCATACGCTACAAGCGTGGCTCGTAAGCAGCCTAAGATTGTGCAGGGTTGAACCGTTGAACAGCAATACCCTAATATGTATTTGGAAATTTAAAAAAAAATATAGCTGAATGCATTGCAAAGAAGGTTAGAATACTTGTTCCGAATAACATTTATTTTATGAAACATTATTTCAGACATTTCATTCTCTGCAGACCTGGTTTAGTGGCTAGTGGATATGAAAAAGAAAAAAGAAGGATAAATTTTATTATGTTGGAGAATTACAATATATTTTTTTCAACCAACAAACAGGTGCTTACTCTGAGATGCAAATTGAATTGGGACGTTAACGTTTTAGCGCCCAAGATATTTTTTTTTTTTTTTGGGGGGGGGGGGGGCGGAATTTAATATTTCTCGTTTTGCGGACTGGTAAAAAAACGAAATGGGTCATCAGTAGGTAGAAAATACGTTTCTACCAAAGGTGAGGCTTACGTTTTTTTCCCCCTTTTTCTATTCACCTTTCTAATTTTTCAGGCAGAATCAAAGGAACCTCTAAATAACTTCTGTCTTCATAAATAACCTCGGGAGTTCACTATACTATTGTCCGTTATGAACACCTCTTTCAACGGTGATCTTACTATGCCACGGTGGAATGAACCGGTGCTACCTTAAATGTCTGGAAACAAATTGGGGTGTGTGTATGCGCGATGAGTCTGCCAGCTGTGAATGAGCATTTTAACCAGCGCAGTACAACCGGTAGCCTGAGGTCTTTAACGTGCACCGCGCAGTAGTGGTACACGACCGCACGCCGGTACGATGTACATGCAGATCGAAACGGGCATGGGTGGGAATTGAACCAACGATTCTTAGGCTATAGAGCGCGAGCTTTCGCTCCACGTGCTCCCGAGCTGCTGTGCGCTAGCTCACTCGGCCACCGATCCTTTTTTTTCTTTTTCTTCTTTATTGCACTCGGCCACCGATCCCCCTTTATCTGTCTGGACCAAAGCCCTTCGATGCAAAGCGAATTGTTGTGTGTATGTTTATACTGCCTAGAACTTGGTCTGCCTTAACGGGCGACGAGTCTCCCAGCTGTAGATGAGCATTTAGCCAGTGCAGTACAACCGCTAGCCTGGGGTGTTTAACGTGCACCACGCAGTAGTGATACACAACTGCGCACGCCGGTACGATGCTCATCCAGATCGAAACGGGCAGGAGTGGGGATTAAGCCCAGGATGCCTGGGTCTCTGCAGCGCGAGCTTTAGCTCCACGTGCTCGGAGCTGCTGTGCGCTAGCCCACTCGTCCACCGATACCCCTACCCGTCCTTTGAAGAGGCATATGGGCTGCGTTTCACATAGCAGCCGTCCCCAAAACGGTGGCGCGTCGAACGACGGGGGCCGGACCTTGAGGTGTGTTGAGGGGGCACTGCTCGTGGACGCAGCGTCTACGAGGAGATCCGTAAAGGCGCGTTCCCACCGGCGATGCGAACTGGTCGCGCGATAACTTTCATCGCAAAAGCGACCATCGCAGGCAAAAAGCGACGCGATTTGAGCAGTCGCTACTCGACCGGACTTTTTTGCGATGCGATCTAGTCGCGGAGCGGCTGAGCCAATCAACGGCATTCGGAGCGAGAGTTTTCGAGAAATGACTCGTCAACGAAGGCGTTGGACTCGCTCATCGCGCACGCCGGTGTGACCATCTAACTTTTTTGCGATGCGATATAGTCGCATCGCGCGACAACTTACATCGCCGGTGGGAATGCGCCTTAAAGGCGGATTCACACAGCAAAAATACACGCGTTTTATTTGACGTCAACGCCGCAGTCAAAAAAAGAAAGAAAAAAGTGAGGAGGTCAGCTACACAGGACTTCCCGTCGTCGGCCGCGGTTTTGCTATTACGAATAGAAAAGACAATGGGAAACTCTGCTCGAGGAGTGTTTCTTCGTTGTGTAACTGCGCTGTCACATTGTCCGTAAAGAAATAACCTCTGCATGTTCGAAGCCCATATGAAGCGCTTCGAACTTGCTTCAGGCGTGTCCGCACCTAACTCTTTCACGCGGAGAGCAAGTTCGTCTGCTTCTTTTGCAGGAGTTGCGGCGACGTCAGAAAGACGCCGAGCTCTGATCGGCTTTGATGGGAAGGATAGTGGGTAGACCTCAATGCAAGCTGCCTCGAGGTCTACCCACTACCCTTCACTCAGAACCAATCAGAGCTAGGCGTCTTCCTGACGTCGCCGCAACCCCCGCAAAAGAAGCAGACGAACTTGCTCTCCGCATACGCTTCTGCAGCGAACACCGCGCCTTTGGCACAGTGCATGAGCCATGGGACTCCAGCTTTAGGTTGATGCGGTATATGGCACTGGTTTCATCTCACTTTCTGAGTATGAGACACTGAAGTTTTGCGATTTCGCAGGCTTCGGACGAAGCGCACGCAGCAAGAGACACGGGAAGGCGAATTTCTTAAGTATGTAAACAGTTTTATTTTTTTTTATTTGCGATTATAGATTAAGTACAAATCTTAATAATCTCGCCGCGACTTTTTCACAGTCACGCCATATCCCACAAGGTGTTATCACACGGAATATAGATGCCACACACGGTCTCAGATCATAACTTATGTACATCCGGTCGACGACGACGTCACTACACCCCAAGCAGCGATAAACTTGGCGGACGACCGACAGGGAGTCGCAGAACTCAGTCGACACACGCGCACACACTCTCACGCACACACACACACACGAGATGTTGCTTGTGGGAAGTAGCGTAGCGCACGGCGAAAAAGGGCGTTTCCAAGCAGCGTGGTACGTATTTTCCGAGGACCAAGTTTACGTCGTCATGACCCCCGGAATAAACGAAACAAGAAGCATCAGAAACCGTGGGGGTGAGGGAACATCTAGAAGCACGCCTGTCAAAGACCGAAACTGCATGCCGAAACTGCACGCGGTTTCTTACAACACGTTCCTCGCGTCACGGGGCTTGCGTTTACAGTGGCTATGGCACATTTTGATGGAGACAACTGCAAACGCCTCGTGGCTTTTTAAGCAACGGAAGTCTCTGCAGGAGCGTCATTTCCGTACTTTCCGATGGTATCCTCTTTTGTATTAACTGGACGAGGCTCAAGTTGTGTTTTGTATGGTACACAACCAGTACAATCCCGAAAATATTGTTAAATGGCAAAAGAGGGGCAAAGAGGCAGCCCAAGAGCCTCTGATGACACACACACACACCCTTAGAGGTTCGAGTATTTTTTTGGAGTGTCGCAGCAGTCGATGTGCCGCCATGTTGGCGCTTGTCTCCCAGCGTCCCACTGACGTCACCGCAATGATTGATAGGAGGTACAAGGTTGCTTGACGCTGAACCACGTGTTTGTACAGTTCCCCCCCCAGGGTACGCGAAGACACGTGAGACGAGGGCTGTTCCGACATGAGCCGAATCGGGGAGATTAGCAGAGACAACGAAGTGGCCAAACGGTAGGAGAAAAAAACTCGGGAAACATCATCGTAAGGCACTTCAGTTCACGGAACTGCACACCCACGTACTGCCAGAGCAGATGAAGGCTGTGCCGCTGGGCGAAGCCGAGAACCGCCTGACGTTCTCAGAAGCACCTTTCACAGTTTCACCACAGCCGTCGTGTATCTATGCGTGTGAAAGTCCATCCGCAAACGTCGAAAATAAAAATTAATTTACTTCACCTTAATCACCACGCGGGGGATGGAAACGTTGGGATAATGTACAGATAGAGCCCTCCGCCGTGTCGTCTAGCGAACACGGCATGCGGGGGCACGAAATACCCTGAAAATGGACCGAGTGCGTGCGATTCGCGCCAGCGGGAGACACCATTCACACACGCACAAACGAGAATGTCTTGTTTTTTGTGACAAGACACGAGGTAATATTATATTTACAAGGTGTGGTGAACGCAGCCCTCGCCAACTTTAACCGTCGAAGAGGACTGTTAATGCCCATAGCGGAACGTATAATGCGTGCCATCCTCCCGGATGCCAAGTGCAGACAGAAAAACAAAACGGCGGCGGAGATGGAGGATGGGCATTCAGAGGCTGCTATGGTACATTTGAGATTTCAGGGTCCGCTTCAACGCAAATTTAGCCATTAATAGAATAACAAAAAAACAAAATATGAATAAAAATTGCACGATGTGTGAACACAATCCACGGGCCTGACCTGCGACTTCCTCGCGAAGTCGAAGAGGACGCGTAAATAAGCAATAACAACGTAACAAAAATAGCGAGTGTTCCCCGTTATAATACATCGAGGACAACACCGACAAGCAGTACACGTACGAAATAAAGACAAATAATGTAGCAAATAGACTAGCAATGTAAACTTGTGACGACGCCCGCGCATCACTCTTCGCAAAAAGTGTATTGGAAGGGGAAAAAAAACACTATACTGTTTCCTTCAGTTGGACTTTTCCCGGATGATGCCGGACAAAAATAGAGGCGTCCTTATGACCACAGACAACGACGACATCACATCAGTGTTGTCTCCTCCCGCTTCAAACTGCACAGTATTCAACGGTTCAAGCGGGCCAGGACAAGAGTATTAAAACAATAGAAAACTAAGTCCCTCGAAGCACCCCTCAGACATCAGGCTTCAGCCGCGCCCTCCTTGTTTTGCCTCTCCGTTTCCTGGAGTTCTCCTTCCTGAAGGCCACGTTGCTCGGGTCGTCGGCCAGCTCCGGGTACTTCTCTATGTCGTGGACGTCGGTGCCGAAGTACCGAGCCACCAGGCCATTGGCCAGCAGCTCTTCCCGCTCGCTCTTGGTCCAGTCGTTCGATCCTTTGTGGCCATTCTTGAGCAACTCCAATTCCTGCGTCCAGGCGTCGTCAACGGCTCTTCTGCGGGCGTGTCTCATCAGCCGGTGCCTCTCCTCGTGCAAAGTGGTACCGTAACGAATGTTCAGCACCACGCTTGTGCTGTGCATCCGTATGTCCACTTGGTTCTTGCCGCCGCCGGACGTTGATCCGCCTTCTCCGCTGTCAACGACGTGCTTAGTGATGTTGAACATGGTGCCCAGTCGTCCCAGCTGGACCCAGTCCTCTTCAGCCTTGGAGAGCTGAGGCTGAACGAAGAAGAATGAGTCCTGACCGTGGAGGGAGAAGCGGAGGTCGGCCATGAAGGTGTCGTTAAAGATGGCGACCATGACGTCACGTAGGATCGGGCTGGACTCGCTGACGACGTGGACGACCGCTTTGGGTCCTTCTCTTGATAACAGGATGCCGTCGCCGAGGACTGACGGCAAGTTGGAGATGCGGGAGTTGATGTGGCGCTGGAAACTGTTGTCCAGTTTGACGGCCGTCTTGGGCACGGTCGAGAAACGGTAGAACTCGGCGGCCACAATGTCCGCAATGCAGCTGAGACCCGATATGACAGGAACGGTTTCTGGCACCGGAGCACCAACTCGGGTGTCCTCGTCTGGAGCCTTCTTGGTCTGGGGGACCACCAGGACGCGGCGCATGTCGTAACCCAGGGCTGCCATCCAGTCTGGCAGGTCTGAGAAAGGGAAGTAGAAACAAGATCGGGCTTGTCACAATAGTGTTAAAAGAAAGCGAACAAAACAAAGTCCGCCCTTTAGTTCTCGACCAAGCTTCAAGCAAAAGAGCTAGGAACAGGTCAGACTGAATGTGACGTCAAATCGTCCGATTGATACCGATTGATGCTTCAGCCGTCAAGCCGGGAACTTCTTTAGTTACTGATAAGATGAGAACGTCAGGGAAGTGCCTCAGTTGCCCCCTCCCTGCGTCATCTCGACTCTCGAGTGTGCAGCCAGTCATGGCGGAAGGCATGGAGCGTGCTGGAGGTTGGTCGTTCAGAAGAGACGCCATGCCGTTCGCATTAGGTCAGTGACTATAGTTTGCATCATGCTTTACAAACAGAAATGCGGTTCTAAGAGGCGTGCACCGTTCACCGGATGAAATGTGGTTCATCACCCTATAATAATGTCCTATGACTCATGAGCGAAGGGTAAGCGACATGAAAAACTTAAACATAAACAAAAATAAGGGTAAATGCGCAATTTTACATCCCATTGGCCAAATTGAGCGGCAGTCCTATTTGGTTCGACAATAATCTTTATATAGCATCGTCAGGTGTGAAATTAGCTTTTGAACCATGTTTACTTCATTATAAAAAAAAGTTACCAAAACTTTTAAATTATAAAGATGCAGGCGTTTTAACAGACTGGAAAGAAAATGCATGCTATGAAACGAACGTAGGAAAATCTAAACAAGGAATCTTGTGATGACACTTCAACGAATCTGTTTTTTCATTGAACGTTGATTCATTCAACGAATGGGTGACTTGAGTAGACATGACAGTAATCTGTTACATACAACGAAATTATTTTGTCATCGATTACTTTGTTTTCGTAATTTAGTAATTCACCCATTACATCTCAGAGAATGTCATTTGTAATGCAATTTCATTAGTTTTTGAGTAGCGAATCATTGCCGATTACTCGTTAGATTTGTTTTCGTCCCGTCAAAAGGGAAATAGAGTGGAAGGGCGATGCAATAAGCTTCGCCTTTTTAGTACGGTGAAAAAAGAAATATCGATTGTTTTTTGTTAAAAACGCGACCAAACATCGCGACGTGCCCTTTCTCCGAGATATATCGCGGAAAAAGGGTGATCGCGATGCTTTTACGTCCAAGCGCAGCAGATGCTACGAGCCATCGGAGCCAATCCAAGGCCGCGTGAGTGTCACATGATCTTGGAGAGGGGGCACAGCGACGCGGCAAAAGCGTATCAAAGGCTACGTCCAAAGAGCGGGATTGGCTAGGATAGCTCGTAGCGTCCGTTGCGTCCAAATGTAAGGTCAAACAAAGTATAATTGCGCTATTAAAAAAACAAAAAAAAAACAAGGCTGCATGATTGAAATTTTGGGTTTTCTACAATGCTTAGGCAACTTCACCTAGAATAAGGAGGGCCTGTGCACTAGCATTTCAACGTCATCAAAGTGAGATTGGGCACAAGCTCAGACTGGACAAGAGTGCTCCGTCAGCATTCGGAAGTGCCTCGTTTCCAATCAATGTGTCAGAGGCGCTCGGCGTCGAACTCTATTAGTGAGTTGGCGCCACCCTACTATAGTGACATTTCATGGAAGAAGATGAGGTAGTTCACAGGCCTCTCGATTATTCTAGGCGGTGTTGACTTAGGGCGCATAGACTGAGTTTGCGTCCATAAAAAGACAATCTAAAAATATACCTTAGTGTCCCTTTTAAGAGGAAGCGCTACTAAACTCACCATTAAGATGTCTGTCTTCGGTTCGAACGGGATTGATAGGGTCGTTCCCGTGGAACCTGTACAGATGAATGTCGTACGGCTTCTGCAGCAGTGCAGGCACACTCTCCCAGTTAGGTGTGAGCCACTGCACGCCGAGGGCATCGTACACTCTCCCGCCGAAATGAATCAGCTGCGTCACAGGATCCCTCAAGCCTCCCTGGAAGTCAACTGGAAGAAAGAACTCCGGGTTCGAGTCGTAAGTCACTTTTCCGAAAGGGTTCCGCTGGACCTCTTTCACGATGCCGCCCTCCGAACTGAACACAGCTACTGGTGATCCCAGGTGGTCGCAGGCAACGTAGAACTTGTTATTCCCTTGTTGCATGTAGATGAGGTGGCCCAGCGTGTCGTAGATGAGAACAAATGTCAGGGAGTCCTTAGGATAGTGCATATGAGTTATTGCCTTCGGATGCTGGGGGTCCGCATAGATGAACTGCGTGATGTTACCCCTGTGGTCCTTGCGGGCAATAAGGCGATTCTGAGAATCGTACACGTACTGCACCTCATACTGGTGAAGCTCGAACGCGTGCACGAGCTGTCCCATAGCGTTGAACTTGAATTTTTCCTCTCCCCTCTGGACGATGAAGCCACGGACATCCACGAGATAGAGTTCAATGTCGCCGTAGCCGATGAGTCTGTCTCCGTCGTCGTGACGAAGCGAAATCTGCCGAGGTCCTTCCCAAAGAGACTTCATGTTGCCGTTGATGTCATAGATAAATCTCCAAGACTGCGCTCCGGACACTTCCTCCAAAAAGCCGTCCACGGTGTAAGTGTAGTTGCTTGCATGGCTGCTTCCATCTTTACCAATTTTAGTGTGGACGTGCTTGATTCTACTCCTGTTGTCGTACTGCAGACCGAGCGAGAAGATCTCCTTGTTCCACAACGTTATGGCCAACACGACGAGCCTGCCGTACGTGTCTGTGCCGATGGTCTTCGAGTACTGCCTGGCTTCGTCCTGAATGAAGATGCTGTTCAGTTTGGGCCGATGCACCAGGAACTGCTGAACTTGGTCCAGAACACCAGACTCGCTGTTGTAGCGGTATTTAGTTGTCAGTGAGGTCTTTCCGTTGATCTCAACCTCGACGGATGACAGTCTGGCATCGTACTGGTAGCGGAACTTGGCGCCGTCCAGTCCGCTTCGGCTATTGTAACGATGGCGCTCTTCTTTCAAAAGCGACCCGTGGTGACGGTAGTCAACCCTGAAGTCCAGGCTAGGCACATTCTTTGTGATGCTCTTGACGAGTGCTGTGCTGTTGTGGTAGTAGAAGTCCGTCCTCTCGGGCCCGCACATGATACTCTCGAGCCGTCCTTCTTCTGTGTATGTGAAGACAACTCTTCCTTTGTTCTTGGGAAAGAATTTTGCGAGCATCTGGCCACGATCGTTGAAGTGGAGCACATAAGGATGTCCCACGCCTGGTGCTAGGTACAGGAGTTTGTAGAATCCGATCGAGGTTTGAGTGGCTATTTCGTGCTTGTGTCCGTTTGGAGTGATCACTGCTTGGAGACTTCCAGAGACATCGTACTGGAGGATGTAGCGGCTGCCGCTGGGAAGAATAATCTCAGTCGGCTGCAAAAAAAGCAACGTAAGGTTAGAGGTTTGGATGCTTATAAGTGAAAAAAAATAACTGCATAAAGTCCGTAAGCCATAGTGCATAACCATAGAAATGCCCAAAATAAACCTAGGGATCCATGAATGTCAACATTTTCAAAGAAGCTGATTATTCAGAAGCGTGTTTTTCAATCTCATTACTGTTCACTAATCTAGAAAACTTCGACCCCTAAATGGAACTTATTAGTGTACTACTCTGGGCTCAAAATATTAATGTAGACACGGAGCTAATATTGTTGCTTGTCTTGCTTTGCACTAGATCTTCAATATCCTCAATTAGTAATTTAAAAATATTTAAGCTGACATTTTTGCAGTCGTAGCATTTGTTATTTGAGAGAGACGCCTCATATTTTTCGAAAATATGACTTTATCAACGAAGATCTCATTCTTTTCGCCGGTGTACGGATTGACCACACATTTTCATACTTTGTAAATGTCGGTCTATAGAAATAGCACTTGGTGCGTGATCTACACTGTCTCCAGACAAAAAGTGGCTGAGTACTTTGCATTGTTAAACATTGGAAAAGCACAAGGACTCTCCCGTGCATCTTGATGAAGTTTTAACAAAGCAAATAAAATGCTCCACTCATAGTTTACCGTAACTGTTTCGTTCAGCTCTACCAGAAGCGCTGCTTACCACGCTGATGGGTCCATCGTCGTACTTGTACATGATTCCGCTGCCGTCGGCGTATCTGACATCGGCGAGGCGACCGCGGATGTCGAAGGAGTACTTCTCGCTGAGCTGGCCCCTCTCCCAGCGGATAAGACGACCGAAGCGGTCGTACTCGAGAGTGACAGCTGTGACGTTCTGCGTCGGCTGCCAGCTCAAGGGATGTCCCAGGGGGTCATAGTGGACGGTCAGGAGCCCGATCTGGTTTTTGTCGTACAGAGTCTCGCTGTACTGGTCCCGATCAAATTCAATGGCGAGAAGGATGTCTCCGTTCACCTGAAGAAACAGCAATGTCCTTTTTGAATAACATGCAACTAGCCGGACTCACTCAAGAAATGTCATACAAAATTTTAAACTCAAAGAAAAAAGAGCTGAAGAGTTTTTTCACTGTGACACAACTTTCAGCACGCTCCTATTGTTTAATTTTCGACTGCGTTTCATATTCTAACATTTGACGCTCCATGTCCCATGGCTTCTGTTTATAAATATGGTATTTGTTTTGACATAGCTTGTTTTTTTTATATTCTAAATGTAATGCACATGAAGGAAAAAAAGTTCTTGCGCACTCGTGGGACATGACAACACACTTAAAAGAGCGTAGTAAAAGAATTTAATTCGCATATTTTAATCCACTGAGTGCAATGAACAACAAAAGGAATGTGTGTGAGATCAATATTATTTTTAAATATTTCAAAATACAAAAAAGAATTCAAAGGGTTAAGAAATGTTTCTCAAGTTTTCATAAACATAAAATATATACATTATAACAAAACCTACAGCGTAGCACTCCGCATATTCTGAAGGATAAGCATGCCCGATTTGATTCTGATATGACAATATTAAAAACGAATATTCCAGTGCGCGAACTGCGAAGGTGCTTCAAAATTATAAAAAAAGAAAAACGCGTTCGAATAATAATACCATAGATATGTAGCGACACACTTTAGCCGAGAGAAATTTGTTTTAGTGGCTATATGTGAAAAATAAAAGCTGGAGTAGAATACAATGAAGATGAGATGGCTAGGCCCCCTTCTCAATATAAATGTAAATAAGGATATCAAAATAATAAAACACCAAACACATAAAAAAAAAATTTATATATTTTTTTTTTTACTTGAATCTCCACTTAACTGCATGCATAGAGATCAAAACAATTGACGAGCCTCGAGATTTTATACTAGGAGCTAACTCCCGGACTAGACTTAAGCGTCGGGCACGTTTGGCAAGAGGCGAGCATGATCTGCGAAATTTGAGCACAAGCTGAGCCAAAGCACGACGGAGGACAGCATACTCGCATTTTGGCTGGAGTAACAAGAAAATACTACAGGTCTAGAGTCTTTTCTATTCTGACAGTCATTTATTTTACAATGAATCACAGTAGAAGCTATGAGCCATCAAAGTCAGTAGTCCAATGCCGTGTGAGTGTCACATGACCGTCCGGGGGGGGGGGGGGGGGGGGGCAGCGACGGACGTGCCACCTGGTCACGTGATCCATTCACAGTGCTGGATTGGCTGAGATGGCTCGTGCGGTCTGCCAATTATAAGGTGAAACCGAGTATACTACAGTGATGTCTCGTAAAATGGATACCTCTGTTTCCCCCTAAAAAAAGCGTGGGTAATGTGAATGTTATTTGATATTCAGCCACGTAAGCAAGTATTTACCGAGTAAATTCTCAAAAATGTTGTTTATATGGTTGAATATCCATATGAACAGGGTCTGTATTAGTCGGTGACAAATTAAGACCCAAGTAGATGCCCCTCTTTCAGCACGCTCTCGTTGACTTCAGCCGTGCATTGAATGCCCGTGTAACGAAGTGTTAGTCAAGGCGGAAAGCTTGCCCGGAAGCCGGAGCATCTACTTAGTTCTTAACTTATAACCAACTACACACAAGTTTCCCTAGAGAGGGCAGTGACTGCCGCTCCCCCGAGCCGAAAGCAATATCCCTATGACTGACCTTCATCTTCCTGCCGACCTGCATGATCTGCTTCTGTCGGCCCTTGCCCTCTCGGCGCAGGTAGTAGCGCCACTCGAAGCGCTGGCTGACGTCGTCGCTGAGGATGGTGCGCAGCTTGGCAGGCACCGGAAACGTCTCTCCCAGCACGGGGCTCAGGTCCGTGATGACGGGGCTCGCCACGGTCTCCATGTCTCGCGAGCTCGCGTCCTCGGCCATCAGCAGCATGCTTCCGTCCGGAGTCTGGGTGATCCGTTCTTCGGACAGGCCTGGGGACAAGACCCCCACCGTGGAATCAGACGGACGTGGCAGTAATGATGTCCGAAAAGCGAGGGACTCGTAGATCGTTCCCGTTAAGGCCCCTCTATACTGAAAGTAACGCGCACCATTGTACTCAGCTTTCCTCTTTGCCAACACCCTCACCTTCAAATATTTATTTTTCCCCTCACGGCAGGCGACACCATTGCCGAGCGTGCCGGGAGTGGAAAGAGACGAGTGCTGTGTCAGCGTTCCGCTGTGACTCGTACCGTCACATTGAAGACGAGTCTCCGTCGAACGCCGACGCAAGTCTTTCTAGTTGACTTTCTAGTTGACGTAGATGACTCAGCATTACGACCTCGTTATCGAGAGAGGTGTTGTTAAAGGACGCGAAAGCGGAAACGAAGGGTCTCCGCACTTGGAGAGGAGGTTCGCGTTACTTTTTCGTATACAAAAGTTTTAATTCCAACAACCACCTTGCGGGCGCTGCTATCTTTGTCCACTGGGTTGTGGAACCCGTCCCGCGCATGTGCAGCACGCATCTTTTGTAAAATATCTAATGCCTCGCACGCGTACAGAGCCCAGCTGTTCGAGATTTTTCGCCCGGATGGTAATTGCGCTGGAAACGTGTACAATGGCATGAAATACCCGCCCTGATAACAGACATCGTTAGCGTACGTGAGAATACCAGACAGAACGGCGTGAATATTACATCTTCAGATAGTTCAAACTAAACAAATAATTTTTTTTGCATTGAAAGAAGTAAAATGCCCAGCGACGAACATTTAGTCTCCGTCAAGATATAGCCCTAGTTGTTGGAATAGGATATCGAAGTTTCAAGACCTGCTGTCAACGAATTCGACAGTTATAAGCGACTTTTCTTTTCAAATTGTTTCATAATAAAATGATGGCCAACAAAGCCCGCTAAAGCATGGAGTCAAATAGCGCCTGCTGCCAGAAACGGGCCATATTTTTTAATCAAAATTTTGCGAAAATAGTTTAAACCATTCGAGCAATATATCTCAAAGGGACAAAACTTTGGAATTTTGTCCCAACCCCTAACGTTACAATCTGGTGAAGTCTCCGCTTTCGTCAGTGTGTAGATCATTTTTACGATGCTAAAAACACGGTTCTGGTCTCTCCAAGGCACCATACACTTTGTTTTATTATTGGTCGCAGCCAAACCAATTCTATAAGGGCACGTCTCGGCAGGCGCTATCAATTCACAAACTAACGCGTGCATGGTAGAGCCGCTCAAAGGGGTGCGCCCGCATTTGTCACTTTTCCACTCGCAGCTATTGGAAAACCTTATACGCTCTCGTAAGGAGACAAATACATAACGGCTGTCATAAATTTGTGGGGTCTTTTATGTTAAGAAAACAATAACCACGAAACATTATTTCCCTACATAGAGCTGGCACACTTGGAAAAAAAAATCTTTTGATATCTTACAACGAAAACAAGGTGACGCTTTTTGGGTTGACTCTACGGTTTCATAGTGTTCATCTCTAGTATTTCATAGTTTTTCCTATGTATGTTTTGTGGTCAGGTACGAGTAAGTTATTTTGTACCATGCCACCGCCAAAAAAGAGAAAAAATAATGTGTATATAGAGCCAGAAGAAAAAAAGAAAAAAACACAGATGGGCAGTTAATGGCTTACAAAAAGAGACAGAAACCGTTGGCAAATCCAGCTTAACCGTGATTTTGACATCAAACTGACAGATGCAAGTAGTGTTCGTATTGTGTTTTGTTTTTGAGAGTGTGTCAATCGCGGGTTCTTGCCTTTCCCTGGTTCCCCATTTCCTCCCTTTCTTGCTCAGGCTATATATATAAATGGAGTATGTAGCAATAAAATTTCAGCTGTATTTAAGACTTCTTCCTGACGTTTGTTTGCTTTTGTTGTTGTTTTTTGTCACCTCTGTCTCGGGTAACACTACAATTATGTGCGTCGTCTAACTCTTAGTGCTTCCCCACTAGGAGAGTACTAGTGCAGTGAAGCGAGCTTTAGAGAACAAGTTCAGTTTTCAGACCATACGGGCTACGCTTTATGCCTTTCTCTCCTTTGTTGACGTGCTCAAGAGTGCTCAGGCCATCCAATTAAAATAAAAGTACATAGTTACGTCGTTCACCATTCCTAGCACTGGATCAAAACAAGTGAACATGTGCGACACCTTACACACTGTACTTAAAACTGCTGGGGAAACCTACTTGTTGCTGCATCAAAATATCGTTAAACAATCTGCTTGGAGCAAATATTTTGAAGGGCCATACAACCATAAATTATAGGGCATACTAAATTGGGTAAAACAAAATGTTTAAAATTCCCAAATAAAACCAGAAGGCGGCCGATATGAAAACAAATTTAAGTGGTTCCAAATAGAGGAACATGCTCCATGTATAGTTTAAATTAGATTTTTTAGGAAACTCTTTAGTCATAAGAAAATCAAAATATGGACCAAGGGATATTTTAAAGAACCATATTTTTAACAGTCATTTCATACTACACCAGCGTTATTTCTTTTTAGCAAACTTTTCAGTCATAAGAAAATCAAAATACGGTACAAAGGACATTTAAATCAACCATGTTTCCAACAAGAACAACAACAAAAAAATTAATCTATGAGTCACTCTGTTTATGTTTAAAATCAATCTGCGCATTGGAACAAAAAACTAAAAATTAATCCTGGATCGTTATTGTACTGCAAACGATGCCGGTTTAAAAACGCCCCTTTTCCACCCGCTAATGGAGTACAGGACCTGAACTCACCGATGCGGGTGGTGACGTCGAAACCCTTAATGAGCAACGACACTGGATCCTTGCCGTCTCGGGTCACCGTCACGGCGGCTCCCTTGGTGCTCAGGTTGTACGAGAGCCGGATCGTCTGACCACTCGGCGTGATGGCCTCGGTAAGGCGGCCGTATTCGTCGTACCCATAGACAACAGACCTCCCCGAACTGTCGATCTTGCTGCGTACCAGTCCGGTACTCCCGTGGTAGTCGAACACAGTCTTGAAGTTGTCCGGAGTCACGAAGCTGTGCAGCATCCTCATTCTCGACATTTCGAGCTGGCATTTGCCGCCCTGCGTGTTCTCAATCGTCTTCACGTGGTTGCTGTGGTCCCTGAGGATGTAGATCTTGTTGCCCTCAGCGTCCGTGACGGTGCTCAGCTTCCCGAAACTGGTGTTTACGTTGTACGAGAACGTGTACACGGTTTTTCCGGTGAGGATGTGCTTGGTGGCAGTGTGCTGGCCGTGCCGGTTGAACAGGTGTACCTGCTGGGTCTCCGGCGAGTAGATCTCGTAGAGGTGCTGCTCGTTGGGCTTGGGCAGCGAGGCCGTCACGGAGCGGAGCCGCAAGTTGCCCTGGTCGCAGATGTGGAGCAAACCGTCGGGGCTTACCGTGATGGATGAGATTGTGCTCAGTTTCGACGTAGAAGCCAGGTAATGGTCTTCGTCGAAGCACTTGCAATTGAGCTCGAGGCACGAGCACTTGAGTTCGGCACCCGCGAAGCGCGCGATCCTGCCGTCACTTCCCAGGACTCGGACGCGGTTCACGAGTTGAGAGTCCGACTCAGCGATGTAAAGGTCTCCGTCAGGGGCGAAGGCGAGGCTTTGTGGTGCCTCCAGGAAAACGTCGGTGGCGAAGTCGCTTCGTTCGCGGCCCGAGGCCGACGGACAGTGCAGAGGTCGCCCCGCCACAATCTTGATTCGCTTGTCAGGGGTTAGCCGCAGCACCATGTGATCATCCAGGATGTGAAGAGAATTGTCTAGCGGATTGATTCCCAACTCCGTTGGCCATCTTAGATTCACCTGAAATTCGAGAAAATAATATTGGTCGTACGTGCTTCCTAAAATGAAAAGAAGATACATTTTGGATTCCATGATGCAAGAGGCTCACTAGAATTACCTGAGTGAGTGAAAATGTTCCCATGCAAGGGATGGGTTTCCAGTGGTTCTTGTGGTAATGGTCCCCAATGAGTGTATGAATAATGCCATGCCTGTCCACCATGCGAATGTTGGTTCCATCGGCAATATACAGCTCGTTGTGCATTGAAATTGCGATGCCTGTTTTAAAAGAAAGATGATAAAGCAGGTTACTAGTTCATTCGGCAATAGTTATTTATTTCAATTTTATTTTAAATACCCTCAAGCTCTCTCCCCATTGGAGAGGGGAGAGAGCTGTAAAATATTAACTATAAACTGCAGATATTAGTAATAGCATTTTTAAACAAAACAATATCCGTGATGTTAGCAATCGAGGCGGGAAGGTAGTTCCAGTCTATAGATGTTTGTGGCATAAAAGGATATTGAAATAATGAAGTTCTAAACTTTGGAATACCAACCTTATGGCTATGATTAATGCGAGCAGATATGTAGAATGGTGGAGTAATTAGTTTTTGATGAAAGGTTACATTTTGAGGAAATATCTTATGAAAAGACGTAAACGAGAGATTTTTCGGCGGTGAATTAGTAACGACAGATTTAAAGTATTTTTCAACGTAGTAACGCTGGCAGTGCGATGATAGTTTGTAAATATAAAACAAGCTGAGCAGTTTTGAATGGATTCAATAAGAGCAATTAGTGACGAGTGAGCGGGGTCCCACACAGCAGCAGCATATTCTAATTTCGGATGGATGAGGGTTTCGTACAGGGTTAGTTTTAATCCTAACATACAGTCCTAATCCTAACATACAGTTAGCACTGTTAATTATGTATTCAATATGAATCTTTCAAGAAAGGTTACAAGTCATATGAACACCAAGATATTTGTAAACGTACACTGAAGCGAGGGGATTGCTGTTGATAAGTATGACACACTGGTTGAGCATGTGACATTCTCATTGATTTGAATTTGTCAATGTTTAGTTCCATTAGCCACTGGTTACACCAAAGTGATATACGATTAAGGTCAGATTGTAGAAGAATAGTGCCAGATATGTCGGTTATTTTCCAGTATAATACGCAATCGTCAGCAAAGAGGCGAATAGAAGACAAGTTCTGCACCAAGTCATGAGGGTAAATAAGAAAGAGTAGCGAGCCAAGCACCGATTAATATGGGCACCCGAGGTGACTGGAAAAGTATGCGAATTCGTATTATTAGCAGTAACGAATTATAGGTGGTTAGTTAAAAAGGCATGAATCCAATTTAATATACAGGAGTCAATGTTAAGTGATTGTAGTTAAAAAAGATTAATTAGGATAAAAATAGACAAGATTAAATCATTTAAAAATAGATAAGACTAATTAGACTAAAAATACATTGGTGCAATCATTGAGGTAATTAAGAGCCAACCAGTATTATCAAAGGTTATTCACTAAAAAAGTTAGGGTGCGAAGGAGCTAGTGGAGGCTTATATTCAAGATTGATTCACTCTTTTTTCTCTTAGAAAACATTTGAAACGTTGTCGAACCTTTTGGATATGCGAGCTTGGCGTCTCTTGCTGGTCTACCATCTCCACAGAGCAATTTGTCGCCGGGAAGGCACTTGGCACCATTTCCAACTACAACCATTATGTTGTTTTTCACATCTGAAATGTCCTTGTAGCTTACAACTTGTAGAATTTGGTAGCGCTCAGGGTCAGATATGTAGAGCCTGCTGTCAGTGGGGCCTACTGCCAGATGGTATCGGTACGCAACCTGGGCAGCACTGCAAAGAAGGAAAGCGAAGAGTTAAAATAATAATAACAGGCTTTAATAATAATAAACTTCATTTTCACTCAGTAGTCTTGGCTGGTGGGGCAAACGGAGATCTGACGCCGCCTGACAAGGCTCCACCAGCCGTCTACATTGTTCAGTAGCAGAGGGGAATGAAAAAATTATATAATAAAAAAATTAAAAAAGTAATTTTCAACAGCATTCATAAAATGATAGGACAAAGCCAAAAATGTCAGCGCTAGTAGTAATATAAATACAGATAACACTTGGGTACCATAGAAGTCAAAATTAGCTACTACTAGTACTAGCTACTAAATACTAGTAGTTGCCCTAAAAACTGGCAATACATTGATCTCCCGTTTCTGCCGCTGTAGTTTTCTCAGTGCCAAATATACCAATAACTTGATTGCATAAATAAGGAAAAAATAATGAAATACGTAATCCAGAAGAGCATAATGTTTGTAGACAATATCTGGAGTTTCTTTCCAGCTCTTCATGTGCACACATTTTCGAAATTTTGTACGATGCTATAAAATATGAATGAAACTAAAGCATCATCAAAACCTATTTAACTACTGCGAATTCGGGGACACTACCCAGAAAAGTCAACTTCTGTACCGCGTGCTTGATTTTATTCAAATTTGCAGTCGAAGTTTATATGAGTGGCAAGCCCATCCCTGCCAAATTTCATTGTCTGATGTCACTTTCTGAAACTTGTTACAAATGTTACAATATGGAAGTCAGCGTGTTTGCTTAGAAAAATTTTGAATATAAAATACAAATTTGCGATTTTTATGTGTAATTAATATAGTCATAGGAATGCCCGTACACATACCCAGCTAGTTATTTAGCTATATTGCACTGTTTTTCATAAGTATAACTCCATAAGAAGATTACATTTGTTTTTTCATGTCTGCACTTTTTTACAAATGTAGTTTTTTAGCATAAAATATTGTTAAAGTAGCAAAACTAACCAGCCAGGCATGTTCCTCACAAAATTCCATTCCAGAAAACCACCTAAGAATAATTCTCCATTGTGCAATAGGAAAACGATAGTTTTCCTAAAATGAAATTTATGCCGAAGAGTGGAACGGAGATAAATGCATTTAAAGTGCTCCAACCCCTACCTTTTTTAGCATCAATGGACCAAAAATAATTTATAAAAAAATAACTATATAGTGTAAACTAATTAAACTTTCTGGGAATACTCTCTAGATGCTGGTGGATGTAAATATGGCATTTTTTCAAAATCAACTTTTCTTGCAGAAATTATTTTTTCTGGGTAGTGTCCCCCCCTTAAGCAGTCACTAAAAGCAGTGGTGTTGAATACAACGGTGCCCATTTTGAAACTGTCGTTTTGATCACTCTTCTGTCAAAACCTGTTGTCACTCAAGAAAACTCTTGAATCGTCCAAGTTATCTAAAAGAAATACTTATATGAACAAAAACATGTATTTTAATCACAATCAGAAAAAAATGAATGAAAATCACAAAGAACGCCCTTCAATGCGAGAATATTCTCCACTGTCATTCTTCACTGCCAGGGGTCACAATAAACGGTGGAATAACCAGTGGAAAAGGAGGTTTACCTGAGCTCCACAATGGTTTGGACTTTCCCATCAATGGTAATTTGGCGGATGAGGTTGAAATCGCCGACATAGATGGAGCCATCGGGAGAGGATGCCAAAGCAACTGGAGCTAGGAGTCTCTGGTCTTTAGCCAGGCCATTGCATTGGAGGCAGTGAAGTGGTCTTTGCTGTCCGTCTCCCATGGCAGTCAAGAGCACTTTCGGCTTGTTTTTCAAATAAATGTTGGTTCCATCTCCCTTTTGCAAGATACCTTATAAAAAAAAGGCAAAAAAATGATTAAATCTTACCCCCTGAGGAAGATTCAGATGTAAAGACCAGGTATAGCCACATCGCTTTCTTAAGGCCACATTATTACCATTATAGTTTATCAATCTCAAAACCAAGTGGATGCACTTCCTCCATTATATTTGCTTCTTGGACACTTATTTTTGCTTGAAAGTTTGATTCTATTACATTGCATTTTTGTCGACAACCTACAACAGTCACCTGCTATAATGCATCATTTTTCTTTGCTGTGTTCATCATGGACTCTTTGCAGCAGAATCTCTAAACGGAACCTACTCATGTGCACATGTGTTTGCAAATTATTATTTGCAAACAAAAAAACAATTATTTTGTCCAGCTAGCAATACCATTTAAATGAATTCTACTAGTTTAATTTGTTGAAAAAAAAAGAAACAAATCGAGATATTTTTCTCGTCCCAGAAGGACAATACTTAGCAGATGCCTCAATGTGCATGTGGCAGGCAGAACTTATTAGAGAGAGTATTTCGTAAAGATTATGTATTTTTCTGTCTCTGTACCAATTTCATGAAAAAAAACAAAATCCATGCCTTTTGAAGAAAGGTAGAAAGCTTTCGCCAGAAGTGCCTATTGGCTATAAATCAAAAGCACTTGTACCTTCATGAAAGTTGTACCGATGGTGTATGTCCAGATTCCAGCCGCCGATCTCCGAAATGCTCATGTCGTGGCCACTGACCTGGGTTGCTTGCACTTCCCAGATAACAGCAGGGCAGTTGTTGTACTCATAGCCAACATACACTGAAACAGAGTAAAAAAACAGAGTCAATACTACAGCATACCCTTGTAACTTGGCTCAAACTTGAAAAAGGTGGTTTGGAATGTGCCCACCAGATTTAGAAGCTACTGCTGGATCCCATTTCTGTTTAGGGGCAGGAGCTAGCCGTTGAATTCTATAACAGTCCTGACGAAACAGGTACTCCTGCAGACCTCTCCACAATATCCATAGGAAAACCATGGGACCCAATGTCATGAGGTTATCATGAGGATATTCTCCAGCAGTGTGGTCTACCTGGTATAAGACTGTTTCCTTGATAGCTTTAGAATTGAAGATAATTATTCAAAAACATAAAATTAGATCTATAATGTGGGCTACTTGGAACATTCATATGCTTTACCGACAACACAGTGAAACATCTACCATTGCATCACTAATATCTGAGGAGAAAGACGGCAAAACACCAGATGATTCTCTGCAAAAAGTTTGAAGTCAGAACATCTCTTATTCCTCGGACTTCAAAATAATGGGATATTTTTGAGTTTGGAGAACACCCTTTTAAATCTCAAAATTTGTTTGCTTCCACAGCTCCTCAGGCACCAGATTACGGAAGCAGCAGTGGGCTCAACCTGGCAAAGTGCATGTACATTGCCAATTGCTTGACAGAAGACAATGAAAGCCTGCCCACCTGTAGCAATGGCCACACCATACACCTTCTGTCGGTAGACATTCCTTCGATTCCAGGCGTAGGTGAACTTGATGCCTGGGTCAGCCTCAAACTTCTTCTCAAAAAGGATGCCCTCAATCGAAATCTTGAGGTGGATAAGCCTCAAGGTCAGGGGAATGGTTTCTGGGGTAAGCTGGAGCTGAATGGTGGACAGGTAGCCACCTGCACGGCTGCTGTGGTAGACAAGGTGCAGGGCGGTTCCAGGAATGGCGATGCTCTCCTGGACGACCTGAAATGCAAAACATAGCATTAACAAAACGAAGAGGGTTGTGACAAGCCAGATTCAAACTACACCAACAAAAAGAAGCATGGCAGTAGGAGACAACTTTGACTGTACAAATAAGTACTGATGTTGTAGGGCCCCAAACGTTAAAAGTACAGCTATGAATAGCTGCATTCATTAATCAAGAAGTTATGTAGCCGATAAAATTAAGTCCCATATTCAAATATACACCAGTTTATATTTCATTTCACCTCACGAGATGAAAAGCAAAAGCTAAGGCCATCTCAGCGAATCTGGCACTCCACACTTACCACACGATTTTATGCTCTGAACGTTACTGCTCTCAACCAGAAGGTCATATGAGAAGCTTTCAGCTCTTAATTGGTTCCAGCGGCATCTACTGCGGATCATCGTAAGGTAAAACAGAGTACAGCCGTAGTGTTTCTTCAGTAACACGGCAAGACGTTGGTAGACAGTAAATAGTGTTTACTATCAACATTTGTATCTCTTTATGCCATAAGCCTAAAATCTTTGTACTAATCGTATCCAACACAACCTGAATATGAACATTACAAAACCGAAACACTGCTGATCTAGAACAAACTGAAGCAGACTGAAGCAAGGTAGCAAGAAATGTTGATTATACTAAATTTAATGCATCTAACCCTAGGTTCTCGAACTGGGCTCCTAGGAACCCAGGGGTTCCTCAAAGTACCCTCATGGTACTCTGAGGAACTTCAGATTCCCTTGATCCTCCCTGTCCCTACTAAGTTAACATTCTTCCATTATAAGCACTATTTCAGAAAACCTAAGCCTTTCATTTATGTATAGATAAGTGCCAAACATTTTTGTTGTGTGAGCAATATTGTTTACATAATCTCTGGGGTGAGGAACTGAGGTAGATGAGGAGACGAGGGCATGTGGCGACGTCACAAAGTTGTGCTTTGATTGGAAGGCCAATGGGTAGATGCGAAGGCTAGCTTCCTTTCTTTCTGCCCACTGTCTTCCTCCAATAACAGCAAATAAGGGCGTTGTCTGTGTCTTGTGCAAAGTCTGGCATTCAAAAGCTGGAGACCGGCGTTTGGCGTTTGAGCGCCAGACCCTGTGCGAGGAAAAGACAATGTTGTTTTTCTCTTTCTCTGAAGGAAGAAAACGGATATAGACTAAGGAAGTTAGCCTTTGCATCTACCCAGTAATCCTTCCAATCAGAACCTGCCACTTTTGATGTCACATTATGTTCTCATTTTCTCCTCTCCCTCAGTTTCTCTTCATATAGGTTTCTCCACTGCTTTACTTAATCGATGCCAAGGCTGGGAGGGATTTCTCAGCTGCTGTTCCCAGTCGAAAATTCTCATTAGATTCCAATTGGAATTTTCAAGTTGTACCAGTTAGGTTTTCGGACAACCAATTGGTCACTGTAATGGTAACCAATGGGAACCAACGAGAACCATTTGAAACCTATTAAGTTTCCAACTGGAAATTTTTTTCCAACTGGTGAGACCCGTTGGCCTGTGTACTTCCAATTGGAACCCATTAAAACCGATTGGTTCCAATTAAAACCAGTTAGAATTCCAATTGGATCTAATGATAATTTTTAGCTAAGGAATTCAAGTCCATAAGAGGTTTCTCAAGATCGAAAAGTTTTAAAACTCCTGATCTAATCAAACAGGTGGCCAAACACGGTCGCAATTAAAGCCTACCTGTGACTCGGCCAGGACAGCGCTTCGTTCTGGGCACCCTCCTTGGAAGCCATGCTTCCAGGTAGCGAGGACAACGGGTTTCATTGTGTCATAGTCATGGTCAGTGCAGGCGAGTGGCCGATGGTCCAGGGCTTTGGCGCTGTCGATGTTCATGACAACGCGGTCAACAATCACAATCTCATTCCATGGGACCATGACTGTACGCTCATGGAGGCCGAAGGGGTCACGCCGAAACTGCAGCGTCACTGCGCCACCACCATTGACCATGAGGTCAAACCTAAAGAAAGAAAAAATGTGGGGTGTAAAGGTCTGACCGCAGTGATGCTGCCTGAGAGTTGCAATGATAATGACCTGAAAAAAGATTTGCATTAATACCTCTTTTAGTAAAACAATTCTGGGGCACCTTTGTTTAGAAAGTCAAAAGAAGACAGCTAGGGGGCTGAGAATAGAAAACGGTGCATCACAAAAAGTCCTAAGAAAGTTTTTATATTGCAGTCAATCGAGGTTTTGCAAGAAAACCTGCATATATGCAAGTTTCATCATGGGACTTATATATGGGACTCATGGGACTAGATATATCTAAAGAAACTAAGTCCCATGATAAAACATCAGCTTGAATCCTATGTGCTTTCTGCACAGCACTTCTTGGTTTGTTACCATTACACATTTTGATAAAATAAGGTTTGATGCTGAAAGAGGCAATATATAAACCGCAGTGAGAGGGTTATTTAATGGACTTTGCAATTTTTATTAGACTTCTATTGATGTCATATTGTTTCGGTTTCCATAACTTCAGTTCATTCTTCACAACTGCCTCTTATCTTACTACAATACCCTTAGAAAAAGACTCAGTTCAAACATTCACACAGTAATTGCATGAGCATAAAAAGATTTGCTAATCTCATCAGCATTAAAGAGAGTTCAAAAGAATGAAGTACTAACTTGATTGATAACACTTTTGGGAGGTAGTATGTTTTGCCTCTGTCAAACATACATCTGAAAAGATTTTTCTATCAAGTTAGTAATCTTCTTCGTTTGAACACTCTTTAACACTGTCCAGATCGGATAATTAGCAATTGTTAAATCATGAAATCTCAGAGTGCCTGAATAGAACAGCAGGTTTAACTTTATGTCTGTACAACAGTGTTAAATAATTCTACATAGTGAACTACCAACTCACCAGCCAGAATCTCTTGTCACGGTGAAGCCAAACGAAGGATCACCGGCGATTCCAACCCTTATGCCCATTAACGGGCTCCCTGAAAAACTTATCACTTGTCCTCTTATGACAGATGCACGGCTGAAAAAAAATTAACACAATTCACAACCTAAGCTTAGGCACCCAGTTTCTAACACAGAAGCTTCGTTTCATTAGAGAAGACTATGAGACACTAGAACAATATTTTAGTTTTTGAGGGAGGCATTAATATAAAAATCAGTATCACATGTATGTTCCTGAAAAGGGTGCTCTCCCCCTTAGCATCAATGTGATGCAGAGAAGCAGTATGAAGAAAGTCTATCTCGTCTAAACTGACTTGACTGAACAAGTTTCAAACTGGAAAAGAACTACTACCAGAGTAAAGCTGCAGAAATAGCACTATTTTGAAAGTTTTTAGTACTGTATTAATTGTGTGTCTATTAAATTATTACCACTTCTACAACCATAAAGGCTAACATATTGATAGGATCTCATTACCTAGCTTCCTTCTTTCACTAGCTAGGAGGGTAGTGAACAAAGAAAAGAAAATGGCAAAAAGAAGAAATGGCTTTGCAAGCCCTCCACTTAGAGGGGAGAGAACTACCAAAGAGAATGTGGTGGAAAAAAGGAGAAAATGTGAGAAAAACCTGGAAAACTAGGTAAGTTTTCGTTTGTGTTTTTCCATCAGTAGACACATTTTCAAGTATTAAAGCAAGCAAGCACAAGCTCCAACGCAGTTAGTGATGGACGTTTGTCATGCAGAAAGAAATCACTTGGACTGGTGTGGACCTACCTGGCATTGAAACGATTCCATAGCACACTGAAGCGACAGATGGAGAAACAGAGTTTTGGTTATTATGCTCAGGGGGAAAAATGAAGCACGCATCTTCGCAGGCAAGTTAGGCAGGTATGGCTTTTTCATTCGCATGCAGTGAGTTGAAGCACAATGTCCTCAAGCTGAAGCATCTGTATGATTTATTGGGCAGGCATGAAAACAGTATGAGGTCTGCATCAGAGGTTGCTGCAAAAGCAAGTGCTAATAAAAGGAGTAAAATTTAAACATGACATTCAGAAAGCCTAGCAGCAACGTTTCTTAAAAATCCACCAGAATGACTTAAAATAGAGAATATAAATGAAAAATATAGAATCATTTGCAGCATTAACCAGCAAGCAACTTCTTAGAGAAGGGGTAAACTTTTGTTGCTGCTGTTATAAATGTTAGAGCATTCAATGTGAAGAATGAAGGGCAAAAAAATGGCTAATTGGCTCATGTTCAATCAGGTAAAAGTACAAAAAACGAGGACAAGGAAACCAAAACAGCACAAAGAGCTTTTGCCTTGTCTTCCTTGTCCCCATTTTTCTGAGGAACTTACATCTGAATGAAGAATGAAGGAAAGCCTGTCTGCTTGCTTGTTTTCTAGAACACTGATATTTTTAACACAGTTGCTTTTCAACTGATGTATAAAAAAAATCATGGATTCATGCTAAAGACTGCTCAGAATGTATTTACAGATAGCACTGTTTATTCAGATATCCACTGAACCTAGACTATCACAGGCTTTTTCAATAGCACGAGATGAACTTCAGTGAAAGACAGTAGCAGGTACATTCTCATAAAGGGACTTAATAATTTAAGGACTGTAAAGCAGGGTTGAGAAAACTGTAAGCTTACCTGTTGTTGAAAGAATCCTTGCGAGCATAACTCTGCACTGAGTCCTCTTCAATGAGGAACTGCATCCTTTGAAAGAAGGAAGCCGTGACAGCTGGAGGCTGTTTTCGTAGCAAGATGTCGAGCGGGTCAGACGACGAGAAGCACAGCGGATTGTTGGTGCATGCTTTGTGAGAGCAGCACTCGCTGTCGGCACAATCAGTAAGGCCATCTGCAGAAGAGAATTAAAACCTTCACAAGAAGCCATGTTCTTTCGCCGAGCTAAATATGAAAATTCTTGGCGACATTGAACATCTTTAAAAAATTTAGTGGGAAAATATTTTCTGTCACAAGGTTATTACCAGAAAGAATCTAATTTTTGAAGAACCAAGAATGTCATTCTAACCTGCTACAGACCAATATTGATAGAAGCTGGGCAAAATACTTTCATTTGGGGATGTATGTAAACAGAATATAAAATGTATCAGAAAAAAAAATGGTAAGGGTGCAGGCGAACTGGCGAATATTAACCATGTTGAATTACCTAACCTAAGACTGGGGTAGAGAAGAAACATCAAATCGTAGAAGAGACAGAAAAGTTCGAGCTGTCGTCCTGTCTATTTTCTGTCTCTCATGTTTTAATGTTTCTTCCCTACCCCTGTCTCAGGCCCATTCAATATGGTTAATAAGACGTATGTTAGCAAAGGCAATGTTGACGGACAAATTTTGAATGAGCCTGTTTTAAGAGGGAAATAATCTAATATACTGAAGTACAGATATGATTACCTAACAATTATTAGCTTTTGCGATACTGCACAACATGTGGTAACATGTGCGAAGTAGAATGAAAAATATATTTGCTTTATGCATTTTGTTATCTGGGGTGAAGAACCCCTGTGTTATGAATACCTGTGAACAAAAAAATCATAAATCAGCACAATAGCAGCATTTGGAAGAACGCAATGAAGAGCTCACAGACTTGGCTTACTTTTAGCATACATTGGAAAACGAAAAGTGCCCCTTTATCCTTTCTTTTCTGTACAGGATAGCATTTGATGAGGAAATCTGATTTCCATCCTAAAACATGTTTGTTTTCTGCCGGGTTAGGTTCTCCGAATGCAGACTTCTCAAACGACAATAGGGATAGTCACCAACATTCTTGCAACCACTTGAATGAGTGTTAATCTTTTGCAATAGTATAGTATCGATTCCCAAGGACAAATCATGAGTGGGATGGTTCTACGAAGTCAAGAATTGAGGGCACGTTTCTTACCATGATCATTGTCGATGCGGTCGTCGCAAGTCTTCTCCATAGGAATGCTGCAGTCAGGTCCGTCCCAGCCACTGTTGCATCTGCACTGCCAATCACCGTCGGACATGACACAGTCCCCGTGGCTGCTACAGCTGCGTGCACATCCCTCTGAAACAGAAAAGAGCAGCACATGCAAGTATGTAGCGTGATCAACTTTCACCAGACAAAATGTCAACTTCCAGAGCATCAACATAAAAATATTTAATCTTAGACTGCAATAAAAAGGTTCTGTATATGAAGCAAAAACATTTCTAGTACTACCAGATATGGTTGCAAGCATTCAATAACTGACCTCTTTTCAAGACAGGGGTTGCAGCCAATAGTGTTAAGTCATCAATTATTTATGATTATTCTCCTGCAGCCTTAATGTCTAAGCCACCTCAGGTAGTCCTAGTCAGTAACTATACTTCGAACCAGTATCGTAATTTCCGATCTATGGTCGCCAGACTATACATGTCTAAAAGTTGGAATTTTATACGGTGCAGACTATCTGTGTAAACTAGACAAGAATTTGTTTTTCCAAGATTGTCCATTATGATTAGACATGGTGGATATTTTGAATGACAGATGATATTAATGATGATTTCTGATGATACATGCTTTTTTGTGTGTGCCATAACAAAGCAGGCACTTCTTAAGGTCTTGAGTGTATGTGAATTTTAAGCAGTCCGCACCGGGTGTAAACTACTTTAAAAAAAAACTTTTTTTCAGTCAAAACTTTCTTTATTGGATTATACACCGAATGTAGACTATAATCCTGAAAAAGAATGGTGTATCGTGGAATTGAGACATCTAAGATCGTACCCAGGGTGCAGTGCCGGCCATTCCAGCCCTGAATGCAGAGGCAGGTGCCGTTCTTGCACTGCCCGTGTTCCACACAGCGGATGTCACATAGCTTCTCATTGCACTTGGCACCGGTCCAGCCCTCGATGCAGATGCACTCGCCTCCCTGACACCTTCCGTGCAAGCCGCAGTCAAGGTCGCACTTCTCTGTAAAGTTCCACCACCACATCACACATTGGTCACTCCTTTAAGCCGGTTCACAATACACCGCAGCACTAACCTGGTGCTAGAAACAAAGCGCTATATACACAGTACTATATACACAGTGCCATAGCAATCACTGTAGATGCCACAATATAAACAGAGTGCTATAGACACAGTGCTATAGGCAGTGATATAGACACAGTGCTACATACACGGAGCTACATACACGGAGCTACAGACACGGAGCTACAGACACGGTGCTATAGACATGGCACTACACACACAGTGCTACAGACACAGCGCCACAGACAACATTACAGACACAGCATTACAGATAGCACTAAAGACACTGTGCTGCAGACAACACTACATGCACAGTGCTACCGGCACAGTGCTACCGACACAGTGCTACCGACACAGTGCTACCGGCACAGAGCTACCGACACAGTGCTACCGACACAGTGCTACCGGCACAGAGCTACAGGCGCAGTGCTACAGGCGCAGTGCTACAGGCACAGTGCTACAGGCACAGTGCTACAGGCACAGTGCTACAGGCACAGTGCCACAAACATATGGCACTTTCTTGTTGCAATTTCACATTGTAACAAGACAACATATACTCAGCACCAACCTTGGGAACAATCTGGTCCTGTCCACTGGTCGTCACAGACGCAACGCTGGAGGTCCAGGTCAAACTGGCCGTGTCCGGAGCAATCTGGCAGGCAACGGAGGGCGTCGCTGTCTGGCTCGCTGCAGTCGTTGCTCTTCCAGCCCTTCCGGCACAGGCACATGCCACTGACGCAAACTCCGTGACCGGAACAGTCAGGGTCCAAGCAGTCGACTGTAACCGTGAGCAAAAGAAATTGTGTTTAACAGGCTTTCCGGACTGTTCGCGAACTATCCACGGACTATCTACAGGGGCGGACTCTGCAAGGACCTGTCCATTGTTAATTAAGATGAGACTTGATGCGTGTTTCAAAATCATCATTTTTAAATCAATAATGATGACTAATAACATGGCATTTTTCAATGTGTGTTGTGTATAAATTCTTTTTAAGTGCGGACTAGCATGCAATAAGTGCAGACTATAGCCCTAAACATAACACAGAATCAAACATGCATGACCACGCTGGTTCAACGTAAATGTAGAAGTATATAAAATATAGTGGCCCTAGATTGGAAAAACTTAATAATTGTATAGTTGGTCTGTGAACTTAATTCTCTAGGCACTCTAGGCATTGAACAAGGTTTCCATGATAAAGCCGCCCCTCCCCCCCCCCCCCCTTTTTCAGTTGGCACTGCTTGCGACCTAATTTTTGACCAAAAACAGGGCAATTAGAAGACAGTTAACACGTGTTTGGGAGCTCACGGTTAAAAAATGTATGTGCCGAGAAATCGTAAAAATTGATGACACTCTTGGAGGGCTGAAGATAAGACAGGGAGCAACTCTTGCAGAATTTTTCTTATGTAGTTTCCCAGCTGAGGAGAACTGCATATTTGTTTGAATTACTCCTATAACAGTGAGAAAACTGTCAGAACGCATCGAGCTAACCGAGCTTCGCCCCCCGTGTCAGCCGCTACTCCTAGGGGTCGGAAGCGGCCAAACTCAATGCGCGCGCCCGTCGGAAGTGGTAAAGCATAACGCCAACACGCCAATGCGAAGCATGACGCGAGTGGTCCAGAGGAAGCGTCACAGCATGAAGGAACATGATTGATATGATAATCAAGAAGTCTTATAAGAAGTAGAAAACTGGGTCTCTTATCACAGGAAGCCGCTTTCCAATTATTTTTCGATGTGTCTCTTAGCAAATTCAATCCCGTTGTTGCTTGCGACATAGCGGAGATGATGGCATCGTCGTCTAAAAGTTGAGGTGATGGCATGGCCAGCGCGGTCAAGGAGCGAGATTTTTGCTATGATGAATAGGGAAACTGTGACGGGAGACCCTTTTTATGTACTTCCGAATTATGACTACCTTCTGACGTTTTAATACACAGAATAAGAAAGAGGGAAAAAGAAATATGCAAGGGGATGATATCAATTGTAAGGGGTAGATAGAAAAATGTAAGGGGGATCTACTAGTCCTCGTCATCAGCGCTGTTTGCGTCATAATGTTTAGCCAACTAGCCCACCAGTTCATTTTTTGACAGCCTTAACCACCACCCTCATCGATGGGCACAAACTTCGAACTCCAAGCGAAATGAACAGAACAAGCTGTGTTGTTGTTTAATTGTCCAACAAGTTTGTTGTAGGACAATTACCCTATTTTTGGAACTATGGTCTGCTCAGTATACGTGTTTAAAAGATGAAATTTGACGCAATGGAGACTGTCTACAAGTGCGAACTATACAAGGATTTGTTTTTTCTATATCGTTTTATTTATGACGAGACACGACAGATTTTGAGGATAAGTGAGTATATTAAAGTTGATTTATATGTCATACAATCTTCTTTGTGAGCTATACTCACGCTGGCATTTGTCAAGGCGTGCTACGTATGATAATTCTTTACTATGCACCGGGTGCGGAACATCTAAGGGTAAACTTTTTTTTTAACCGAAATTCTTTTTTGCGGGGTATACACACCGGGCGCATAAAAATATTAGACATCAGCGCTTCTTGGGGAGGTTCAGCTAAGTCCTGTATGGAGTATGAGAAGTACCTTCTTCACAATGCAGACCCTTGTAACCGGGAAAGCACCGGCAAACTCCGTCCAAGCAGTCCCCGTGGCCGGAGCAGTCCGAGACTTCGCACTCGTCTTCTCTGAGCTGGCACTCCTTCCCCTTCCAGCCTGGCTGGCAGGCGCACTCGCCGCTGGTGTACTGGCCTCTCCCACTGCACAGCACTGGACACACGCCTGGAAGCCAGCCACCGGTGCCCGAACTTCATCGCAATCCCAGCGATGAAACACACTCTCCAATGGTTTACTCACAAAACAACAGCATAGGCTAAAAATTAAATAGACTGTCCACCTCCAGCTCGTGCGTGCTGCCTTTCATAGGGTTTTGGTTGCACGTGCGACGAGCTTTTATCAAAGGCAGAAAACTTGCGCTTGAGGAGGAGCATCAACCGGATCCTCAATCTGTCACCGACTATTGAACATTCATGGTTTGCACAGGGGGCTTCAAGAACGACTGATAATAATTTAAAGGCCGACGACCAGATTCGAGATTCTGCAAGGCTGAAGATCCTCCTCACCATGGGCGAGGAGGAAACGGGCAACGGTGAACAGGGTAGGGGGGGGAAAGGAGGTAGCGGTGCGCAAGTAAAAAGCGCGAACTGATCGTCGGTCTTTAAAGAAAAGACACTCGAAATAAACAAATAATTCCTTCGGAATAATGTTACTGACCCCAGAGGTCGTCAAGTTACGAGCGTAAAGTGGTACTTACTAAATAAACGACATAAAATTTGCTAACTAACTTCTGAAACACTCACCTTAACTGGCACATTCTAATTAGCGATCTGTTGCCCGGCCGTCGTCAAAATATGGCACCGCTGTTGGTATTCAGACAATTAAATCCTACTACACATTATTGTCACTCAAATTTTATCCGTGAGCAGACAGGTACCGAAACTAGACACAAAGAGAATATATCATCGAGTGAATGCACGTTTGCAAGCAGACGCAAAAAGCATTGTCGGTCTCCCTCTGTGCGTAATGCGCAGCAGCCGTGTGCTTGGACAACTCGACCTAAGTCGTACCAAGGCACAGAGACACTCACGATACGCGCAGGATTCCCCGGCGTAGTCAGGATCGCAGTCGCACTTTCCCATGTTGCAGGTTCCGTGTCCGTGGCAGTCGTAAGGACAGGGGAGGCTCGATACATCTGCAACGGTGCACCGCAAGCTTTCACACTTGCCACTCGCAAGGATAAAGCTTTTAGCAATTTTCATAGAGTCGAATCTCGTTAATTCGAACTCGAGGGGGACCGAACATTTGCTTGAATAAAGCAAAGTTTGAATTATCGGGAGCTTTCTCCCATATAGACGCATGGAATGGGACCTGCATGTAAGTTTGAATTAAGAGGGTTTGAATACACGAGATTCAACTGCATTATAGTCCCTGCCGGCATGAGAACGGCAGGGCGTCTCTTTCGAATTCCAGGCCTCTTGGCTGCGCTGGTTGCCTTCAGACGTTCCTTGGCTGCACATGAAAGCTTGGAGCTGGCGAGACGCTGAAGGCTTATCAAAGGTAGGAAGCTCGCGCTGGAGGCGGGACAAACTAAGAACCTCCCTGCAGTTCTCATTCTGCCAGTGACTATAGCATACGGACCGGCAGCGAACGTACCGGCGACAAGACTGACGAAGGACACCTCTTGCTGCAGCTCGCCGTCGTTGTAGACGGAGATGTACCACCGGCCACGGTCCAGGAAGTGAATGAACTCCATGTTGTACTCTTCTTGCTGCACGAGCCGAAAGAAAACAACACACAGTCCAATCCGAAAAATTAGTCTCAGCTTCTGCATAAAGATATCTTGAGTGAAAGTTTGTTGAGCTGTAATTAGCAGTAGACGTGCCCTGGACATTTAAGATTAACGAGGACTTTGCTATAGGCCGGCTTCGTTTCAGTTAGTTTGGTAACATGTGTTTCCCAGCGTAGCATTGACGACGCCGTTTTCAAACAATAATAATGCCGGCGATGTCCGATGTCAGACCACGCATTCATTCAAGGTTCGACACATGATATCAACGATGCTCTCATTTTGAAATTATTCATCATAGTGTTATTTCATTAACAATCATTCTTTTTAGCTTTTTAAACTCTTTACTTAGTCTTAAGCGACACTATGCTCCCTCGCGGGGTTCTATGCAGTCTCGTGAAAAAGATATTGGTAGAGGCTCCTCCTTTTAAGGAAGGTTGCGAATCCTCGAGCAAGCAAAATCTTATACAGTGACGATGACCCATACTTGCCATTCTACCACACACAGCGTACGGAATGGAGAGTAACAGTATAAAAAATTCTAGTCAAATCGGTAGAAAAATAGATAAAAACAAAAATGCCTGCCTCAATTTCGTGCATGTCATGGCGCATGGCACCAGGTTGGTGCATGTCACGGGACGTGGCACCAGGTCACTTGATACCCCAGAGTCACATGACGTCACGATGCTACGTGACGCGGCACCACAATGTCGTCATGGTGTCCCGTGATGGCGTCACACGAACACCATGACGCATCACGGTGTTCACGTGATGACAATAACAAACATTTTATTTTACCTCGATTATGGTGGGGGACTAGGAAAAAAGTGGATACAGCTTGACAAGCCCTCGTGCCTCTAGAGTGTTCAATATCAAACGGACAAAAGTACACACATAAAAAAAAACACTCACTCTAGAATAAGCGTTATTCGTAATTTAAAAAGAATGCGACAAAAAAAGTCACCTTGGCAGATTTCCGGTGCCTTCTGTCCCGGGCACTGAGGATCTCCACGAAGTCGTAGCGGGTGTGCGTGGGCACGCTGTTCCGACGACCGTAGATGCCGACGCTGGCGCCAGTGGGCAGTGTGTAGTTGAACTTGACTAAGGCCGGCTCCAATTGGTGGAACTGCACGTTCCAGTGTCCGTACGACGCTATCACTTTGCTGTGTCTCTTGCCAACAGACATGTCCATGAAGGAGTCGCTGCTTGGCGGCAACGTCTTGGCCGGGAGCACAGACGGGTCTGCCGGGCAAGCAAGATGGTGCGGTTGAACTAGCAGCTACTGGATGGCTGGCAGGCGACGGCACGTGCAAGCTCACTTGACGGCAATTTCCATAATCGGCTTCTGCACACCGCCATCTTTGTCTACTGGGCATGTGTTCTGAGCGTTTGCACTATACCTCTCTGAAAGTCAACGCCACGCAAGGAGACCTCAGCCCAGTGACTCGGCAGTTTTTGCCTGGGTGATAAACGCCGAAAAGGTCTATGCGACCTTGATTCCGGTGGTGGATAGCTTTCTCTTACCGGCATTCGCGGCGCCAGGGTTATTGTGACTCGTGTTAGTTATACCGTAAGCAAATATTTCGATTGATGCGGAAACCAACAAATTAAAGACATATTGAAGCGTGTGGTCATTAAAAAATAACAATTGCTTTTAAATGCACTATGCATCTACAAGCCGCATGGTACAAGCAAATGAATGAGCAATGGTTTATTAGAGAATATAAGAAATGAACAGCATATTTGTGACGAAGATTATCTTAGGTTTTTGTTTATTAAATGCCTGGAAGAAAAAAACCTGAAGATTGCAGCAGTAACTTGACCAATAAAGAATTATGATCTAAGTTCATGCCGTGTCTAACGTATTAAATTAGAACACAACCTATCCACCATATATTTTTGCGACACCTCCGAACAACAGGTAACTAATTCGAGGAGTAGAGCAGAGTAATTTTTACAATGTTAAGACGAAAATTTACGTAAAGTAGAAACACACAATCTTTAGGCATAAACATCATACCCATCCTGGTTTCAAATGAGATCATACCTACACTCAAAGAACAACTTCAGCACTTCAAAATCTTGAAGTTATATGCGCGTCTGCCTGAGGATTGTGCAATACAAAAGCTTGTATTAGAAAGGTTCAAAGAGATCTAGGTATGCCAACCAGTTGAGAGTATGAAAGCGACACTTCAAGCATTTAACGACGAGAGCGTCACAAACCCACAAACCCTAGCACTTTGAACACATCTGAAAATTGTTCAATGAGGTCAAGCATATTGTGCACATATTTACAAAAGACCAGCAGACATGTGCATCGCAAAAGCAGATTTCCCCTTTCAAACCAAGCAATCAAAGCAGCAGTTATTTTTAATGTTAGCCCGAACGATTACTATAAAAATTTATCCAAGCGCAAGCTAAAAGCGAGCAGACCACAACAAAGTCGAGCAGTTAGTAAGTTAGAAAGATTTTGTGGACATGTGGGCAAGGACACACATACGCAGACAAACAACTCAAACATACCTGACAACACAGGAAGCGGAAGTAGTTAGTGTCCTTCAAAACGGAAGCGGAAAAATCGGATCGGTAAGAATTAACGAGAGAAAACTTGAGGAACTCGAGGAAGCAGGGCGCAAGCAAGGCAGATTGATCCAAAGCTGTATCAACTTTCTTTCATTTTCCTTTCTTGAAGAACTAGAAAAAAAAGGCGTCATGCAGTGGCGCCTTCATTCTTTGTGCGAGAAAGCGAACAATGTAGCCCAATCTCTTGCCTGAATTTATTTGCTCCTGCATGCGAAAGCCTCACTCACCCGGTATCTCTAGCCACTCTGTGGAGCCTGATGCAGAAGTGACAGCTTTCGAATGCCCGGAGTCACCAGCCTCCTTGTCAGCACCCAGAGGGTCTATGTCCGTCTCAGCTCCGGCAAAATGCTCAAGCGAGTTCTGGTTATCCTCAACATCGACGTCCCCCGTAAAGCGGTTGTCGGTTTCGGAGTTAGCTAACATAAACTCGGCTGCGTCCTGCTCAGGAAGCTCAGACCCACCAGAGACGTCGTTCTTGACAGCTATTTGTGAACCAATTGCGGTGGCCTTGCCCGAACCAGTGATCTCTTCCTCAAGTTCCACCTCGTTCTTCTCCAGAACCTTAAGCTCATCGACTTCGGTCATATCTTTAGGCTCGCCGCCCTGCTCCGGCATCGAGATGGGAATTTCGTTGTTAGTCGCGTTGTTATCAGCACTTACGAACCGCGGCCGCTTTGTTGATGTCCCGGCAGTGTCGCCTTTAGCCCTTTTAACGGTGGGCGATTTTAGACCATCCCCTTCCCCGGACCGCGGAGGTCCAGACGGTGACTCGGCCATGAACCGCTTACAAATGCAGTTCATCCTGCTAATGCGGGTCGCTGGAGGATCATCAGGAACGATAATGACCGTGTCTGCCTGAAACTCTGGCTCCTCGTTGAACTCGCGCTTAGAGTTGAGCTGATTTTTGAAATTTGCGTCTGCATCGGCATCAACGGTGTGCCGAGGCCGCCTAAAGTCTGCAGGCTCTTCACCGCTCCCAAGGTCCTCGAACTCGGTCGACGCGACGGTCCTGGACGTGCGGTCTGTAGCCTGTCTCTTGAAACGTGTGTTAGGACGACCAGGGGCTGGCGATTTAAAGGAGGCGGGGTCATGCTGTCGGTCGTACGTACTTTTGAGATCTTCGCCGCCCGAAGACATTTCGACGTCATCGACGATGACAGGGCACGGGTGCTGACCGTGTTGCCAACTGAGAAAGGCGACAGCTGCAAAAAGACGGGACTCTGCTCATTGGCCTTGCGCTCTTCATGCCTCTGCAAGGGCTTATCACAGTCTATGAACTGACGCATAAACGCAACAAAAATAGTTTATTCAGTTAGTCGCAGTGACCCAAGTAAAGCTCATTTCTGGGTATCGAGGTAATCTGTACAATACTGCTTCATTTCTTTGCGAATTCTCTCTGCTTACCCGGGACTTAGCAAGTGCGGAAGATGCCAGTACCCAACGAAAGAGACATCCGATAACACAACAAAGTAAAAAACACGTTCAAGTGTATCATAGTGTTTTCAATCCAGTCTAGAAATCCGCACGAAAAGCCTCAAATTCATGTTTCTGCGGGGAAAAACAAAAGTTTGGCTACTGCATTAGGTTTAGAATTTGTGACCAGTAACGAAGTTGGTACAGTTGCAAGGTCGTGTATTCTTATTTCTACAACTGCAGGCCCCAATCGCATAATTATTTTTTTATATTTCGCATAATTAACACCATAATTCCGACTTCTGCTCGTAATCCGTATGATTAAGACACGGTGGCTTAAAAAAAAAACCCAGAGCTCAATTGCCGGCGTACACTGTACAAAGCATGATTTTTATCATTTTCTTTTTATCATCACATGAATTCCGACTCACAAGCTGGTGGTATGAGGAGCAAATGTGATACAATATATAAAATATGAACCTCAGCTTGGCCACAACATGTCTGCTCAAGACAAGGGAGGTACTTACCGATGAAATAGGCAAGGGCTATGAGCAGCACCACGGAGAGGAGGAGGAATGCAATGGCGGTACACTTCCAAGAGCACCGCGAAGACAGCGTCTTGCGCAAATTACATCGGGAGTGCGGGAAGTGACTGGATGTCAATGGCCGTCGGACGGAGTTCCTCGGCTGAGCGCATCCTAGTGAACCGGCAGCAATGCCACCTCCGGCCCCTAGCCTGCGTGGTACCCAGAGACATGCACATTGCAGACTCCACCACAAGAGTGAATCTTTTCCAGCTTACCTTTGGAAGCTGGAAAAGGCTCCAGAAGTAAATGATGACCAAAGACAGCAAAAAATACAAGGACAAAAAAAGGAACATACATGGAAATTTTGTCCTCTTGTTCTTGTCTTTCGCGCTGTTTTTGATCGTCGTGCACAACTACCAACTAGCTCAGCTTTCCACTTTTGTCCAGAAATAAAGTTCCATCTGTTAGATACAAAATCCATTTCTTTCAGAATGCCATCAAGAAACTGGTTTCATCCTGTTCACAAGGGAAGTTATTTTTCGCGTGTAACGAATTTGAGAGAGGGTTTTTTTACTTTTGAAAAAAAGTGTGAGGAAGGAAGTTATTTTTCTTAAAAAAGATTCCAAGAGTGTTTTTTTCCATAAAAAAAGGATTTAAAAGGAAGAACTTTTTTTAAGGTCTTGAAATTTTTTTTCTTTTGAAGGTTCAAAAGAGAACCTTTTTTCCCTTCTGGAGACCAACCTGGCCCAAGAGAAAGCCCAACTGACTCGCCCGGGGTGCACAATGATCCTATTCCGTCTGCTATTGAAGGAAATTAACCTTTACAGGGTGGTCACACAATGCCTTCGGGAGAAGGCTTCGCTTTTTCAGTACTTCTAGGCAATCGTTCTTGGGGGCTAGGCCAATTCAGATTCCATTACGGCATATGGTGCACCCCTGAAGGTTAAGCAGTGGTGGCGTCGTGACTCTCACAGTCATGGTTTATTTCACCACAAGTATGGGGATGCAGTTCGGGAGCAGTGTTAATCTTAATTGCTAGCTGGCTTTATTTTATTAAGGATGTACCAGAAAATGTCCGACTGCACGGGCCAGCTGTTGGTAATAAACCAAATCTGGTTTAACTACAATTTATTCATATAGTTGATATAAAAAAGCTCCCTTGGAGGACGCCGGAACTCCTGCACCATCGAACACTAAACAGACTAAACTCTTAATGTCCACTTTGGCTTGTGGTTATTGGTGAGCCCCTCTATACACCCACTCATCTTTCCAAAGAAAACCAGAGTGCCCCTAGCGCCACGCCACCGGCGCCGCGCATGCGCGATTGGGTGTGGGCCAGAGCCCAGAAGCGCGCCGTTCCGTATCAACAAACCATTGGAACGTGACGTTGTCGGCCTCGGTGTGAGGCACCCTGCTCCTTTGCGCGTTGAAATTGCTGATACTACGTCTTCCCAGCAATGTCTTACTAGTTCAGTGGCCCGAGCGAAATTAACAAGGCTCGTTACATTGCAAAACTTTGTGTAAATATTGTAGCGTGCGGCAATTCATTCCGCGTGGACGCGGCAGAATGGACAATAGTGCCCGATTCACACGACAAGGTCCTGGTCGCTATTTTCACTGGCGACGTTGGTCGGGCTACAAAAGCGTAGACGGTAGCTGTGATGCTCGACGTAACCTTCAAACTCAACTTTTCAGGTCTGCGCTTCTTATCGCAATAACCGGGACAACGTTTTCGTTTGAACCAGCATACAACAGTTTGCACAAGCAGCAGAGTTTGAAAGAGAAGACGACAGTTTGAACAATCATAAGACCCTTTGAACGTGAAGACGCAATGAACGTGGTTCGCAAATGGTCCGGACAATTCTTGACGGTTTCCCTGCATTCATTTTGGAACAAAGCAAATAAATCTGACGACCACAAACATCCGTGAACAACCCAAAGTGCTTCCCACAGAAGGAACCGTGGTTCGACGGTGTCTGGTTTGCCTTTTTCACAGCACCTATTCATATTCTCGGATGAACCGAGCAGGCAGAAAACACATAGAAACTTATCGTCACTTCTTTCCCGGCTCTTTTGGTACAGCGCGGTGTTTTGACGAGAAGGCAGATTTTAGCCCGGTTTCTTCCACAACACCACCACCGTAGCACGACGCAACAGAGTTGAGTTGGTGTATAGACTGGCCAGAAGACACAAGTACCTGTCTGGGTTGGTCTTAGTTTCGTCCTGAATGATGTTTGACGGCCTGAACTCCGTCTTGCCTTGCGGAGATCCTGGGCCTTTCGTCAGATCTGCATGTAAAAAAAAAAGAAGACGTTGGAAGGGCATGCGTTAGGCGTTTTTCAAGCCGTATCATGACCGAAAGTTAAATGACACAAATGAGCCTATGCAGCAAGTCCACGTTGGTACCAGAGGTCCAACGCATCAAGAGATATTTCTAAGCAAGGGATCCATCGAGTTAGGAAGTTCAACGCCTCAGGAAATGTTTTTAGTAAAGTGGTTCATCGAGTCATGATATTCAGAATCAAGAAAGCAATGCCAGGTTACAAGCTGTTGACCACCACCGGCCTCCTCTGGATTTTGACGTTTCTTCCCGTCACTGAAGCCAAACATATACCCTAATATAAATATACTCGTGGCTAGTAAACTTGTTGTACGAGTGAGCCTTTCGGAGAACCCGAACAAAAAACAACATGTATAATAAATAGCCTACGCTTAGAACGCTACCCGTTGATTATAAAGCAAACGCTCTACACGCAGAGGACTAATAATTCTGGAGTTTCGTGTTTGTTCATTTCTTGTGTCCTTTGCTCCACGGTTTCTATGACACCAATAATTTGATTGAAACGTTTCTGGACAAATTAACATTTCAAGCCCATCCTATGCCCCTCTAACGACCATTGTTGAATAAAGTTTTTAACCTTATATAGCTTTTTTAAGCAGTGAACGTCATATCCTCTGGAAGAAAACTAGATCTCATCTCAAGAAATCCCGTCGCAAGCGTAAACTGAGATCACCCGAGGAAAAGATGAGCATACACACAGTGAATTATAACCATGACCTTTACAATGAAGCTGTTTATGGCTAGGGTTCCATGGATTTTTTATGTGAGTCAACAAAAACCCTACGATCGCATCGCCGCACGCGCACGCCTTCCCTACATAAAAGATGAAAAGTAAATAACCAAAATAAAGCATTGACGAACGCGCGTGCAAGATGCCACTTGTTTTAGGCTTTTGTCAGTGTTGTACACATTCTTCAAAAAAAGGAACGCAAGCTCGTTCCTCAATCCTTCTGACTTTTGGAACGCGTTCCCGTTAAAGTTCCATTTGTGAAAAAGGAACTCATTCCCGTAACAGTAAAAAAAAAAAAAAATGAAACGTATCGTTAAATTTACGTTATATTTGTATTTTGGAGACCACTATACTCAATTACATAGAAAAAGGTTTTTTTTGTTGCTTTTATCTATTCCATCAAATGGCAACATAAGAATTTGAATGCTGAATGACACAAGGAAAAAAAAAGAATGGAACAAGGTTTCATTTGTTGACATATTCACCTTTAAAAATCTCACCTTGCGGCCATATTAATCTTTGTCGTGAGATAGTCAGACGAGCAAAATGTACTGTTACCCCACATTGCACGAGCTTGTTACAACAACCTCACACGTTTCAATCTAACAAAGTCCCTTGTGTGAACTTAACAACACTTGCTTCTCGATAAATAACACTTGCTGCTCGAAAATTCTGCCCGCAAGACGAGCAAGGGTAGGGATTTTTGAAGGCCAGTTTTGAAAACTGCCAGTCCTTTGTGAAGGGTGTATTCGTTGTTCAGCTTCAGGGGGAGGGGGGGGGGGGGGGGGCAAGGCGAGAAAGGATGAAGGTTAATTTGGGTGTATCTTTTACTTGTCCAATGTTCGGGATACAAGGTTGCGTTCGATGTCGGGTAACCTGTTCTTCTGGTCTAACTGTAGGTCTCTTTGTGAAAGTTGAGCAATGGCTGTAGTCGGCCTTAGGTTTCTGGGTGTATGAGGATTCATGGAAGCAAAAAATGTAACTGAGTGAGACGTCCCTCTTTCTGTGTCTTTTCCATTGCCTAAAAAATATTTTTTTACCGCAGTTTTGGGCATTGAAAAAATGTATCAATGTCCGTTAGATCTCCTGCACCCAACTGTAATCACGCGAGAACCCCGCAAAATAAACCCAAAGATAAGAAAGAAAAAATTAACGAGACACTGCACTTAGTTTTTAAAGCGCAGCTCTTAGAAGCCCGTTTCCGGCTTGAACGGCACTGGTGTCGGCGGCAAACCGCGAGGTCACGTGACCCCCCCGAAGTCACGTGACCCCCCCGAGTCACGTGACCCCCCCCCCCCCGAGTGAGTCAGGTGACCCCCCCCCCGAGTGAGTCAGGTGACCCCCCCCCCCCGAGTGAGTCACGTGACCCCCCCGAGTGAGTCACGTGACCCCCCCGAGTGAGTCACGTGACCCCCCCCCCCCCGAGTGAGTCAGGTGACCCCCCCCCGAGTGAGTCAGGTGACCCCCCAGAGTGAGTCAGGTGACCCCCCGGAGTGAGTCAGGTGACCCCCCGGAGTGAGTCAGGTGACCCCCCGGAGTGAGTCAGGTGACCCCCCGGAGTGAGTCAGGTGACCCCCCGGAGTGAGTCAGGTGACCCCCCGGAGTGAGTCAGGTGACCCCCCCGTAGTCAGGTGACCCCCCCGTAGTCAGGTGACCCCCCCGAAGTCAGGTGACCCCCCCGAAGTCAGGTGACCCCCCCGAAGTCAGGTGACCCCCCCGTAGTCAGGTGACCCCCCGTAGTCAGGTGACCCCCCCGAAGTCAGGTGACCCCCCGAAGTCAGGTGACCCCCCCGAAGTCAGGTGATCCCCCGAAGTCACGTGACCCCCCGAAGTCACGTGACCCCCCGAAGTCACGTGACCCCCCGAAGTCACGTAACCTCGGGGGTTCACGTGACGCTCCTGACGTAACACGGCCCCTTCCCCCCTGAGGTCACGAACCTCAAGGAGTCGCCTATCCCTCAGTACGCTTCCATCCTCCTCCTCAAGAGCTGCGCCCTAACCGGCGTTACAGGGAATTGTTAACGGCTTTCATTTTTTATCCATTTTAGAATTTCTTTTTTAGAAATAAATCAAAAATGACCACTGGGCGAAAAAGGGAACGCTGTTCCTTTTTCCGTTCCAATAAAATGTAACTAGTTCCCGTTCTAGTTCCACCATTGCCAAATGTAACGACGGCGTTCCTTCGTTCCTCCTAAAAGGAACGCGTTCCAGGAACGCAGTTCCTTGGAACGCCATTCCGTGCAACACTGGCTTTTGCTTTAGAACAGCTACTGCTACAGACGCCGGCACGTGCGGCGTGTGGAACACCATTGCCGGCATTCTCCTTGATGCTTGGGTAATTTAATAATAGGTCTATTGAGTAGGTTAGTTATCAATAGGCAGCATTTTTAAGATCAGTAGACTCCCAGGTAGATAATAAAGGTTTCTCAAAGATTTGCCGCTGCGCGACCCGCGTCGGCCATGGTCTAGAGTGCCTTCATACACACGCGCGCTTTTGCTTGAGTGGTGACATCTCAGCCATTTTTCCGCCCAATTGTTGTTTTATGCATGTTGAAGTGCGCGCAATCCGGTGTCGCTCAGCTCGAGCCCGTAGCTTTGGCCAATGCGTAGACGCCATTTTACCGCCCAAGTCACGCACCAAGTGCGCGAGAGCGTCACACGCTGGCACATTCAGGGCAACAATGGATGTCTTCACCCTGAGACAGACAGACATGTAGGCACCCTAGCCATGGTCACGCTCGCACCGCCCTCTCTTTGTCGTTGTTCCAAGCGCTTGCGTGCCTAGTTTCCTTTCCTTCCGCTGTCCCGGGGTGGCGGTCCCGTCGCGCGTGTCCACATTCCGCGGGGTGGCGGTCCCGTCGCGCGTGTCTAGTTTCCTCCGGCTCCTCGAGGCGGCGATAGTCGTCCACGCTAAATGATGACCACCGATCAAGACAACAAATAAATCTGTGCGCGTACCTTTCGTCGCGATGACCACCGAATAAGACAAACGTGTCGGTACTTTTGTTCAAAATTCTGCGTCACGTCTGTGTCGTTTGATAAACAGCTTCGTTGGTCATCCACCTTCACAAAGTGGAATGGCTCATGATTTTTTTTTACTAAAGTGAAATTCGTTTGTTGGTATATTTGCGAATGAAGAATCAATCCGAGTGCGCACATTCTGATGACGTTGAAGATTTCCAAAGTGAACTTTTATAAGCCAAGAAGAACCAAATTTGACGCTCGTGTTTATAGAGCGTAAGGTCCACCCGCCTTTAAGGTGCGACCAACGCTGGTTTTGTAAAAAATAACTCCCGTCTCTCACGCACAAAAAAAATGTTACTGTAAAAATTACCTAGTAGGCATATTTGAAAACTCATTCTCCGCCAAAATGTAGCGCTAGCGATCCGAACCAGATGATAAATTTTCAGCTCTAACCGTTACCTTAATCAAAAGTTCTAGGCGATTTTCTGAAAATTCTTATCGGAAAACAGGGTTCCTTTGCGCCCGTCTTTTGTGACTGGCGCCATTCAACTTCATACATTCGAGAGCTTGGTCGGCAGCCATTGCCCCTTAAAATTTATAAAAATCCCTTATTATTTTCGATAATAAAATTTAGTTCTAAAACTTTGGCATCTGGTTCGGACGGCTAGCGCTATATTTGGCTGGAGAATGAGCGTCCGGCGATGCGTGGTTTCTTTTTGCGGAGAAGAACTCCCTGTTAATCTATTTCTTGGGAGGTGGGGGACGCCTTGTATTATGGTGACTGACAAGACAAAAAAATGAAAGCCGCTTACAATTTCCTGTAACGCCGGTTGAAGCGCAGCTCTTGAGGAGGAGGATGGAAGTGTACTGAGGGATAGGTACTCCTTAAGGTCACGTGACCTCAGGGGAGGGGGTCACGTGACCTCAGGGGGTCATGTGACCCCAGGGGAATCACGTGACCTCAGGGGAATCACGTGACCTCAGGAGGTCACGTGCCCTCAGGAAGGTCACGTGACTTCAGGTGGTCACGTGACCTCGGGGGAGGGGGCGTCCCGTGGCCTGGGGGTCATGTGACCCCCAAGGTCACGTGACCCCCAGGCCACGTGACCATCCCAAGGTCACGTGCCCCCCCAGGCCACGTGACCCCCCTCCCCCCGAGATCACGTGACCCCCCAGTCACGTGACCTGGGGGGTCACGTGGTTACGCCGACGCCGCTGAAGCCGGAAACGGGCGCCTAAGAGCTGCGCTCTAAAAGTGCAAGGCGCGTCTTTCGAACGCCTAGACTACGGCACGCACTCGTCGCCTGCCGTCGTCTTTTTGACTGCGTGTGCACGCTCGAAGCTCGGAGACATCAGCCACCATCGCTCCATGTCGTGCTCGTTTTTCCGTACCCTGTGCATCGCACATTTGGCACCATCGAATTTGTTCTTCGCGGCAAGCTTTGCCGAGAGGAACAAATTGGATTGTGTCAAACAATTTCTTCATAAGGTACCGGCACATGAGCTTGGTGCGGAGAAATAGCGGTTGCTACGGTGCTGTTCTTCGTCACGTGGAAGGCATGTTGGATGCGGGGCAAACCCGGCGTTCTCTTTGCGTCAGTGGCTACGCGCTAAACGTTTCCAATGCTGTTCCGGAGCGCGCGAGGCGGCCGGCATACACCACGCCAGGACAGCGTTGACGATCGATCGCAAAAGCCATCTCCCCTCTGCCCAAGCACCACTTCAAGTGTCTTCTTCAAAGATTCATGAAGCCCCAACGCTCTATCTTTCCTCCGAGACCTTAGCCAAATTCCGCAACCCGCTACGCTCCTTAAAATTCGACAAAAACCTCTTAACCCCCCCTCTCCCCCTTCCCCGCGCGCGAGAGAGGAACGCAGGCAGCAGAAAGGGAGGGACATTCCGCTCGTGATGGAAGCTTTTCTGGTACACTCCGTTTCATTTTATGATGGATCGCGAATGACTTGACGAGCCATCGCTCAGCCAATGCAGCGCTTTGGAAGAGCCACGTGAACACGCACCCGGCGCGTCGCTGGGTCCCTTCCGAGGGTCACGTGACACTCATACGACGCTGGATTGGGACCAACGGCAACCGACGGGGTCCGTCCTAACGTGAAAGGGAGGACCCTTCTGGTGAAAGCTCGCGCTCCTCTTTTCCGCCTCTGTTCCCGGACGACCTTTAGAAGGAAAAACTCGAAACGGCAGAAAAGAACAGCCTGGGAGACGGACGGCGCTGGGGCACGTATTTTACAGCGTGTCCCTTTCCCTTTAAACGTGTTGGTCCCTGCCCCCGTACGGTACTTTTGAATGTTTAATGTCCGAAAATATGCTCCGCTACAGCGGGAAAATAAAGGAGTAGAAGAGCATGCGCAGGATAGTAGGACAGACACAAGATAAAAGCCAGAGGGGGGAGGATGCCGCGTTGTAAACGTTGGGGGTGGCTGTCTCTTCAAGGGGATGCCCGAGAGAATGGAGAAGCACTTTCTTTGGAGGGGAGGGGGTATTGCGAGCTTCCTGGATCTTTAATGGCTCCGGCGGTGGGCTAGCCACAGACAAAGCCAGATAACCGCCAAGTTTTGCGTCGCCGTCGCCGCTGCGAGAAGCGGCTCGAGTTCGTGTAATGACATTCCGGAAAAAAAAAGGGGGAAATACCGAAGAAATAAAAAAAAAAAAAGAAAACCAAAACACGTGCGAGAAAAAAAAGAAGAAAATAAGCTTAGGGTGGACGGGCTTCCGAAAAATTGCTTTCGAATACAAGATACCTCACGTGGAAAAGAAGGTACTGACTTATATACGTGCTTCAAATAAAATAAAGAATAAAGAAACCATTAGCTTTCGCTTGCCGAGGCATTATTTTTTTTCTTTCTTTTTCATCCTTATTTGTAATGGAGCCGCCGGTGCTCAAGTGCTTTGGAGACTGGGGAAGATACGCGAGAAGAAAGAAATAAAATAAACAAGAATAAACAAAGCGCAAAAAAGGCCATTTTTCGCCCGGTTGATGTCGCCAGCAAGTTTGGCTTCACCGTCAAGTTGGCATTTTTTTTTTCTTTTTTTTTTACCACCCCTAAAGTAGCAGGGTACCTAATGTGCACGACGCTAAACGATTAAAAGAAATGATATAAAAAATGTCTCGTGTGGAGATTATAGCGGAAGTGGTGGGGCACACACCGGTGGTGGGCTACTTTAATAAAGTTGGCCTATGAAAGGTGTCTGAGCGCCGTAAGACCGTTTTACCGGAACACGCGTTACATTTTTTATCTATTTATTCTGTCTAGGTTGCACACGGCTCGGGTTTATATTTCTATACCACAACAATGGAGGAAGCGACATGTCGTGAAGAGTAGGTGTTGGCGATGTCGTCGTCGCCATTTTGAATTTTCGCGATTCCGCGTCGTGATCTGAGGCTCAACGAAATGCGACCGGGATGACCGAATTAGTCTACCCCTATAGTAACTCTACCAAGCGCAATTTCACGTCACATCTGGTAGAAGCCAGAAGGGCATCGATCGCAGTGATTCAGTTCAAGCGTTTCGACGCGGAGTTTTCGCCGCAAGTGGCGTTCAGCGCACAACACGTCGCTCTAGACTATCCACCTCACCTTGACATGAAATGCATCCAAGGCTACAAACGGGTAGTTCTGATGCCCCTGCTGCACAACCGTCCGTGCAGTTGAGACGACATTAACTTCCAGTATAGGTAATGACGATGTTAATTAGAAGACAAGTGACGCAACATATACAAAGGACCATACAGTACCAATCTGTCATATAGATCCGCTTGGAACGTTTCTGATCTTGCGGACAACGAGATCAGAGTATCGTGACCTCAAAAGCGCCATTTTCTCGGATAAATGCGCGCGCAAGAAGTGCTTTCCCCCATTCCTCAAAGTCAGTTTTCAGACACAAATGCCACGAATAGAACCGATTTTAGGAACTGCGTACCCGTCTATCGGAACAAGCTTTGGCGTAGGTTTCACAATCAATATTATAAATTTTACGTGACAAACGAACGAAGGGCGCCTGTCACGTCCTAGCGAAGGACTGAGGATTACTTTCGACCGCATGTGAATCTTTGTACATACAACCGAAATCTTTGTTACACTGCGCCTACTCCGCAATAAGCCTCCGTCAGATTGCGGAAAGCTCGGTTGGGATTGGAACACGCCAACTCGGATCTGTCCTCGAGACGACATCTAAGTTACAAAAATAATTCTGTACCGAATACAGTTTTATGCGAACAATGGAACACTTTCGTTCATCAGCTGACGAGGCATGCATTAGAGCTACACATGGCTTGCATTTGACGTCGTCTCAACGCAACGTCATCTCACCGTGACGCCAGTGAACGCCATGTACTGAGGTGGCGAGCCAACGTTATTAGATCAACTTAGTTGTGGAACTCCCATGAAAGAGGGAACGCTGTCCTTCCAAACTATGTGTAACTGTATTTACCATAGCAGCAGTCTCCCTCCCTCCCTCCCCCCCCCCCCCCCCCCCTAAAAAACAACAACGCGCTACCGTTTTTGTGCTTCTCGTGGAGGCAGAGGGGGCTTTTGGACGCGGCGTCTACGGGCAGCTCCGCAATTGAGCTGATCTACGAAGGCGATTCAAAAACTACTCGCACTCTGGCTGCAAACATCATTTCAATCAAAACCTTTCCAGACCCAAGCCTGTCATAAATTAGTACGGCCTTAACCAACTTGCAAATGATTTGTCCCATCATCCACAGCCAATCGTCTATCTGACAGAATCGGTATACGTGCAGCTCAACTTCCTCGTCAGTCCTGGATCGGACGGACGCCCAGATTCTCCTTTATGTCTGACACTTGCGAGCCCTTCACTGAACATACGAGTCTATTTAGACACCCTTCTTTGCAACAAATTAACACTTGCACGAAGTCTTCGATAAATATCGGCACCAAATATATCCTCAGACCACAAGAATAACGGCTCCCCCACTTGTGCAAATCACAAATGGGGCAGCCAATGTTTCTCGCACCTTAGCCACAACTTAACTGACTTAACACGCTCAAAACTGCACAATAGTGACTGGAAAGAGAGCGACCTTGCACAAAAAAGCGCCGATAAGGCAGTGCGGCCAACAAGCTTTAAGATAGCAGGAGAGCGGATAATTCTCCCCCTCGTAACAATGCGAGCGAAGTGCGACGTACCGCTGATGAAGAGCGAGCCTGACGGCGTCCGAGCCAGGCAAGTCGGTTCGTAGTCCTGGTCAGCGTCCTGGGCCATGCCTTGTGCGCCTCCCGTGCAGCTCCCGGCCCGGCCACCGCCCCCTGTCCGGCCCATGGACAGGTTGCGGGGCGGGATCACGGGAACACCTGGACGCGAGGGCGAAAAGATCGTTGGTACGTATAGAACTACTTGTGCCACCAACGGCCCGAACTCATTGTTAGGTATTACTAGGGCTACCAGGACGTTGCTGCCCTCATGTGTTAACTGTGGCGCTATACTTGGTATCAGCTTAAGTCAAGACGCAGCCGACGCTACGAGCCAAGGGGACGAATTAAGCAGCGTCAAAAGCGCAAGTCACTGGATCATTTATTTCCATGATTAGTTTAGCGATGAGCACAGAAACATGGCGAGCATCATGATGGTGCGCTCTTGACGTTGTCTGATTGGTCCCATCAGGCGTCGGCTGCGTCTGGACTTAAGGTGAAACAAAGTGTAGGGAGTATTCACTGTCGGCCATAGCTGTGTGCGCCACTGCTGAGCGCGTGCTGATGGCAAGCTTCCACAGATCTCAAACGTGCCTTCCACACCATCAAGATTGCCGGTCTTGGCAGCCTATTGACGTGAGCTCGTTCTGAGCATGCGCTTCAAACAGTGACCGCAAATATGGCGTCCAGTGAATACCCCTATAGCCCTACTATCAGCTACGCAGCAGTCATGGATTATGTACCGTCGCTCTCTTAATAGAAGTTTCTTGTGTCTCTAGAAGAAACATAGAAATCATTAACCTGTTAGTAACGCCGACGTGAACCTAGCTATTGTTTGTTCAAAGGTAAGAAACAGCAGGAAAGGGCTCCTCTCAAAAACCCTCCTCTTTCCCCCTTTGCAGGGCGAATAGTGGAGAGGAGGCCAGTGGGGAAGAGGATACAAGCAATCACGGCGAGCGGAGAAATTTGTGGGTGAGGCTTGTCCCACCATTTTTAATCTGGAACAGACGAGAGGGATAACTTTATCTAATTTCAGCATATTGGCCTGACCTGAATTTAGCTAGAGAGATCAGCCGAAGCTAAATCTGGTCCTGAGCAGAGTTTGGCCAACGCTAATCCACCTGACCTGGTTTGCAATGGCTAGCTCCTCTAAGATAATTCCAAGTTTGCCTAACCCAATACCTAGGTTTGACAATTTAAGTAGGCCTAGGTCCGTCTAAACGAAGTCTGGCTTGGCCAAGACTTAACTAGGGCTTAGTCTTGTAACCTATATCGGTCCTCTACTTAGCTTAGGGCCGAGTCCAGTTTAGGCAAACTAGGGCTGAGCTTAAGCGCTAGTTTTAGGGTCAGGTTAAGTAAGGTGAGGTAAAGTTTAGGTTAACGTGACATTTAGGTTCCAAATTTAAATTCTGTGTTGACCTACGTTAAATTAACTTGCATCTGCAGATCAGCAAAGTTTGGTTAACCCAGGTTTAGATAAGTTTTCGTTTAGGTGGAGCTCCACTATATCTCGGAGTAGCCACAGTTCAACCATTCAACTATGGTCATTTCTTTTTCAAAACTAGTTTGGAATCCCTAATTATAGCAGTAAGTACAAGGAAACAAACAATGCCGGCTTCCGATTTCCAACCTTCCGCCCGGATAAATGATAAAAGCCTGATACAGCAGTGCCATGCATGATACTGCGCGAACGCATGAAAGCCTTGCATTGCATTTGCAAACGCACGCAAACGAAAAAGTAAGAAAAAAGAAAAAAAAAAAAAAGAAAAACTTTCGGAAAACTATTTGACAGAAACACAACCGAGATAGTGTCCGTTGACAATATCGCAACAAGGAAGGATTCTTGCCGAGCGTGTTACGCTAATGAAACTCAACAACGCAGCCTAGCCATCTCCACACATCCCGGTTTGGCCATGAAACGAGTAGATCCCGGCCCCATAAAAATCCATCACAAACGAGTTAAAAAAAAAGGAAAACTTCCCAACACTTCCGCGTTTTTTTTTGTTATTTTGTTGCCACAAGGAGCGAAATGCCCTCACGGCAGCATAACAAGCCCGCACCAAGGAAGCCGGTTAGAAATGAAACAAAAGAAGGGAGCTAAACGTTCGTTCTCGTACAAACGGTCTTGTGTCACGCTCGATGACAAATGGTGACACACCGCCACTGGCGCAGTTGTGACGTCCGTAAACAGGAGAGCCATGTTTGCTTTCTGTACTAGGAGAGGCCTAACGGTCCGGATGCTTGAAGCGTTGCTTCGCTTCCCCCGTTTCGCCGGTTCAAATAAAGTTAATGGAACGAGGGGCGCGTTCTGGCGGCGCGTTTTAAGACTACCGCGTGTGACGTCAAGGAAAACAACCGCAATGCTTCCAACTCTTGAAAGCGTTGCATTCAAAAGCATTAGTCGGATTTCAGGTATGCGAAAACGAAAGAGGGCCATAGAAGACAATGCAGGCGGCAGGAGCTTATCCTATAGCCGGCGTCGTCTGTATTGTCTTTCCCTATCTCTAAAGCGAGTCTCGAAAGACCGTCCCCAGATTTTGTGTCAGAAGCTTCTCAAAACGTCCCGTTGGAATACTTTTAGCGCTCAAAACACGAGGACATGGAGACGAGCATCAGACAGCACAGTGCGCTCCAAAACCAACTAGCCCAACAAAAGTTCCAAAATCAACTAGCCCAACAATCTACTTTGTCCCGGTAGCTCGTCCCGAACTTTTCTCTTGAGAGCTTGTGCCGAGCGCTTGTGCCGAGGTCTTGTTCGCATAACTTATGCAGAAACTTCAATCATTTAGTACGTGCAGTTCGTCCAAAGAACCTTTACCAATAGCTTGTCCCGATTGTTAGACTCCAAGCTCTATGTCACACTTTTTTATTTTTTTTTACCGTCCTGCTGTTATCTGCTAGATATAAAGGCCCCGACCCACAGTTGCGTCTGAGAGCGCTTGAGTGCGTCTGACTGCGTTGCGGCTGCAAGAAACCAGGACATCCCTGCTTCGCATGTCGCCTGCCAAAACTACTCCTTGAGTTTGATTCCACGCTTCATACGAAGCATTTATGTGCCGTAGACTCGCTTTCGTTTTTCGACGCAACGCAGTCAGGCACTCTCAAACGCAACTGTGCGTAGAGGCCTTAATTGGTGACAGGTTAATACCCGAATAGATGCACCGCCTCCAGCGCGAGCGTTCTGCTTTTGATAACACAGGCTGTGTTCCAAAATTTACTCGATTCGACTCCGGAGTAAAGTTTTCGTACCGTGGCATTCCAAAACTTACTTGAGCTTACTCGATAACGTCAGAACTCGCGTTCCAGAAGCGGGTTGTTTACTCCGGAGTAATTACTCACGCTACCCTCCTCGATCGGGGGGTAACGTCGGATCAAATCGAGTAAATACGTCACGTCATCTGCTCGTCGTCTGCTTTCTGCGCCGACAGCCGTCAAAGCTCGCTTGCTCCGTTGGTTTTACTGGCGGACCTTCGAAATGACAAAGAATAGGTGCAACATGTGTGGTTATTGCGATTTGCTGTTTTCAACGCACGAATTGACTTCATTACATCCAGACCGTGCACCTCCCCCGGGAAGTTATACTTGTTATTATCAGAGTGCGAGCGTAAACAGGAGCTTCTCCGTATTCTCGTCCCGGGCGTTGGAAAGAATGCCGTATTCTCACGTTCAAGGCTGAAAATCGTCCCGGGCGTTGGAGGGAATGTCGTATTCTCACGTTCAAGGCTGAAAATGTTTGAACGCAGTAAATGATAAGGTAGTATTTTTGTTTCCTCCAGAGTGTATGTATTGAGAGGATAACGCTTGTAAAGCTGTGAAGACTTCGGTGATTTTATTGTAATCATATTCGCGTCAAAGCGAACGTCAGTTTCATGTCATTTTTGAGAAAGCACCCTCGTGCTGTACCACTACACCGTGTGGAATCAATTTCTGCAAAACATAATCGGTGCAAATTACAATGCGTGAAATATATTCATTTAGGGAGATTGCGCTGATTAATAAAAACTTTTTTTTTATATTTAACTGTAAGGAGTAACCATGTTGAATATACCTGAGACTGGGGTAAAAAGGAACATTAAAGTCGAAGAAACAGAAATGGACAGGACGACGTCTCGTCCTGTTCCTTTCCTGTCCGTCGTAAGGAGTAAGTAATTTTTATCTCAATATACAGTTCAAAAGGAAGGTGAGTAAAAGAAGCTGGTAGATCCACCGAAAAAAAAAAAAAAAAAACGCGTCGACATTAATATTATCGTGTCTTCGAGTGCTTTCTTTATGATCAAAAGGATCGTCTGCTATTTTCTGCCACCGCTGCTGTGTTTTCTTTTTGCCATAGCTCAAGACGAAGCCGATCCGCGTAGTACCCAGGTTGTTATCCCAGCCGTTCCAAAATCGAGTCGCGGATCGTTTACTCGCGATGTCACGTGGTATTACCCTCTGACGTAGGAGGCAGGTTACTCGGGTAAAATTTGGAACAGAGCCTTAGTTGCGCACGCATCGAGACCCCGGCAGAAGGCACCGATAGCATGCTGGATCGCACCTGTGTTGAACTAACGGAGGCCCTCTTGAGGCTGACGAGGAAAGAAGTTGAAGATAGTAGCGAGCGGAGAATATGCGAGGCCTGTACGTTCGAGTCTTCGGTAAAACACGACGCACAAATTAGACAGAACGGCTGCGTAAGCGCTTATTTCGGGGTGTGGTCCAAAGTATCTCCTGGCTCAAGTTTGGCTTTGAAGCCTCTCTTGGTGGCAGATATTTAATCGAGGGACATACTGGTCAGCACCACTTTGTAATGGTCAGTTCTTATGTTGACAACATCGTAACTCAAACAAATCAAGGAAGATTTATGATGTGTGACCAAAGAGCCGATTCTCATCTGCCACGGACGTGCGAAAGTGGTGGAGCCCGATGAAATATCGTTTCATGACCGCCATTAGTTTGCTCGAAGTGAAACTGCTTTTTGAGCCACGAGATGCGACCGCGTTTCGGAAAGGGTTTATTGGTCGGCCAGTTTCCCAGCGACTATACCCGAGCAACCTTGTCACTCAAATGACATCGTCAAACGGCTCCTGATCGGTTTGAGTCCAAAACACTTGTCAGGAGCTCTGTTCGTTATTATTATTATTATTTTTTTTTTTTTTTTTGGCATTCGAGGAACGCCGGGACAT